TCTCTTCTTCCTGGTTCCGATCCTCTCACCTTTCACCCTAGGCTAGCGAAGGCCTGTCGAGTCAGTCACGTTCCAGTACTCTTGCAGTACTCGAATTTGTACAGTACTTCCCGTTGCTATCACATCCATGAACCGATAATCATATGTTTGTTTTCTATCATTTGTTAACTGTTTCTACGTGTTTACATCTGCCTCACGAGAGACCAAATCGGGCAGTGGTTGACGGCGTGGACTGAAGAGTCAGGCCAGCTGGGTTTGATTCCAAGCTCCATCACCTAACTTATTAGCTGTGTGAACTCGGCAAGTCACGTATTTTCTCCATTTCCCCAACCGTGAAATGGGACCGGTAACAGCAGCTCTCGCAGGCTTGTTGTGCGCAGAGTGAGCATGCGTACCACACCGAGGACAGTGCCTGGGACGCGTGCTACAGCCGTGAGCCCCTGCTATCACCATCACAATGGTCTTACCTCTCCACATTTTAAACTCTTGGAGGTATTTTAAGCCACCTATACTCTTTTAGATTTCTTTTGTCTCCCTTCCTCGTTATTTCCTAGAATAATGTGATTTCAAAGAGCTCAAATATTTGTTGAATAAATAAATGAATGACTCCTATATTTGAGAAATCTCTAGAGAAGGAAATGGCTGAGCATTTGATTGTCACTTATGTGGCAACCAGCAATTAAATCTCTCTTTTTACCAGGTGGCTGATATCACCTGGCACTTAAACCTGTTTTGTTAAGAGAGAATATTTGTCTTAAAATCCGTCTTCTCAAATAGCACAGGAAGGCCTTTCTTCTCCACTTATGAGCTGGACACCTCACTTTAAACTGTCACAAGGAAACGAGCCGTTTGTGGTAGAAACACAGGCCTCGGGTTCCTGATCCCTGTGATTTACTGGCAGCTCTTTGGGAACATATGACATATGCTTAATACAAAAATAAATTGTATTAGACGATACATTTCTTTAAAGCACCTGGTGAGATGCGTTCAAACCCTTCCACTGTAGCGGTCACCTGCCTGTGGCTGTGTCTGTACGGTCCAAGCTTATCTAAGGATGGTTTTCTTTCTCTGGAGGTTTAAATGGGCCTGGGGGCTTGTGGGCCACGAGAGCGTAAGAATCAATTGTGAAAATAATGAAAACATCTGTCCTTCTGATGCTGTCCTTTCTCTCTCCTCCTGACTCTTACTCCCTCTCAGCTGGATCCTTCCCAGCAGCACTTTAACATGCTTAGGTCTCTCCCAAATTAGAACGGAGCAGAACAAAACTGCCCTGCTTAGCCTCTATCCCACTTTCTGTCTTGCTCACAGCCAGATTTGTGGGAAGCGCCGCATACACTTACCGGCTCCGTTCTCCCACTTCCCACCTGCTCCCCAACTACTCAGTTTGGCTTTTGCCCCATTAGTCTTCAGAAGGGCTCAGCACCCGCCCTCCGTCCACTAAATCCACACCCTCTCACTTCTCACTTCACGGACTCTGTGGCTCTCTCTGGCTGACCAAGGCCTCACCACCGACCCCCCCCCCAATTTCCTCCTCCTACCTACCCCCCAGGTAGTTTCCAATGTCAACAAAGAGGGCACATAAATTTCCATGCCTTTTTGTTACACGTATACAGAGGCACATACATCATTCATCAGAATGTGTATTTATGTTTTTTTTCTGAAATTGTAGTGTTCATAACACTTTGTGATTTCCTTTTCCCATCTGACATGATATGCCAGTCTTGAAGTCAAAAAAAAACATTTCTAACTCTACAATTTTTTATTTTCATATATAAATGTACGCATATCAGACATCACTAAGTGATAGCGCATCAGGACAAGTTATTACATTTTTAAAAATTAGAGAGAAATTGCATCTAGGGGTACTCTTGAGTTTCCAGGGGAGCAGGACCCATGGCCGCAATCGCAAGTGCACAGATGTTAACTCAATGGAAGGCAAAACGAGCATAATTTCCTGTGGCTTCTGGCCACACCCCGATAGAGCCATTTTATCTTGAGAAGTACTGAGCAGCTCCCTGAAAACACTGGCTCCATTATCTGTGTTTTGGGTTTAAATAGTAAATTAAAAAAACATTTTACATTGCTAAGCAAAATGACATATGATCAGAGGCCCTGAAAATAATTTTGCTTGGGAAGGCGGCAGCCACATTCCAACGACAGTGGAACTTGCTCTCTACAAGTTTCCTTTAGTCTAAGTCTGGGCATCTTTCACTTTCCTTTCTCTTTCCGATTTAAAAAGTCACACCGACCCTCAACGAAGGCTGAGTAAAACACAGACAGCTCAGCCTTCCCCGGGGTGCCCTTGCTCGTGCTCTGCAGTGGGCCATCAGGGTCACGAGGGAGGGGAAGTCCAGGACCTGCTGACCGGAGTTCAGCACAAAACGTCATGTTCTGGCCTCAAATGCCCGATCCTTTCCTTACAATTTCCCAACTACACCCCTTCTAGGAATCTTCTGAAAATTCTCGTTATCACAACAAATATTTTCAAACACCACCCTCTTAAAATAAAAATCTGCACAAGATAGCCAAAAGCCTGGAAAATTAAAAGATCTCTATATGGGTGCCTGGCAGGCTCAGTCAATGGAACATGCGACTCCTGATCTCGGTGTTGTGAGTTCGAGCCCCACGTTGGGTGTAGAGATTACTTAAAAATAAAATCTTAAAATAAATAAATAAATAAAAGATCTCTATATTCCTTCATTTTTAGTAGACTATAATTGCTTCCATAGAGATATTTCCGAAAGTTGAATGCCCATCATTAACAGAACAGTTGAATCAAATGAATTTTCCCTTGCAATTCAAAGGGGTTAACAGCAACAAAACCAAACAAAAAATCCAAAGCAAACAAAAAAACCCTCAAAGAGGTAACGCAGGAGGAGGAGAAAGAGATCTGGAAGGGAACTTTTGGACATAATGACAAAAACTCACTGGAGTTAAATAATTAAAGACATTAACTCAAGGGCGCCTGGGTGGCTCAGTTGGTTAAGCGACTGCCTTCGGCTCAGGTCATGATCCTGGAGTCCCTGGATCGAGTCCCACATCAGGCTCCCTGCTCAGCAGGGAGTCTGCTTCACCCTCTGACCCTCCCCCCCCATGTACTCGCTCTCATTCTCTCTCTCTCAAATAAATAAATGAATAAAATGTTTAAAAAAAAAAAGACATTAACTCAAAATATAATTTAAAACAGTACCGAAGGGCCAGGCACAAAGCAGGTGTCTTATCACAGTCCCGAGAAGACTGAGTCAGGAAGCTGGGTTCTCCCTGGCGGCTGGCAAACAATGGCCCACAGGCCAAGATGCTTTTGGGTTTTTTTCTAATTTTATTTTATTTAAATTCAATTAATTAACATACAGTGTATTATTAGTTTCAGAGTAGAGGTCAGTGATTGATTCATCCGTTGCATGCATACAACACCCAGTGCTCATTACGACACAGGCCCTCCTTGATGCCTGCTTGTGAAAGGCCAGCAAGCTGAGAATGAGTTTTACATCTTTAAACATTTGAAAAAAATAGATGGTTAGTACACATAAAAATCAACTGGAATTCAAATTTTAGTGTCCATAATCAAAATTTTATGGGAACACAGCCACATTTGTCCATTTATGTATTGCTGATAGCTACTGTGCATTACAGTGGCAGACCTGAGTGGTTGGAACAGACACCTGGGTAGCCCACGAAGCCTAAAATATTTACCACTTTCCTCTTTACAGCAAAAGTCAGCCAATCCCTGTTCTAAACCAGATTTTACTGCCGTCGACTTTGTGTGACCTGAGGCTGGTCTCCTGCCCTCTCTGGGCCCACCCCCAGAGAAGATGCTGGCCAGGACCCCCAGCCAAGGTCCAGGGCTGCACTTGTCGGACAAAGGTGGACAGAGCAAGAGCAGCCGCTAGTGCCACCTACAGCTCAGGAAGGAAGTGGCAGGCGTGGGGCTGCGGTGGGAGAGACAGTCACTGGTGGACCTCAGCGCGGCTGTCTGCTTTGGTGGAGGGCTCCTATTGAACTATCTCCCCAACTGGTGCCATCGATGGACAAAATCTGACTTTTACACACCTTTCAAACAGACCACAGCTCCAAGTAGAAACATATCCCCCACATTCACTTCAGGAGTAACTGCTCCCCACAAGAGAGAAGGAATGCAAACCAATTATTACTACAGAGAACTGGAGAGGGTGATGTGTACGTTTTCTCTAGCTCTGAAGGAAAAACAAGGAAAAAGCTTGTCATCTGAGAGATCCATCTATAGTGCATGAGTCACCATTCTCTATACCATTTCATGAGACTCACTCACATTAGTTCTGAACCGTCGGGCTTTAAAAAACCAGGTAAGCAGATTTTTCACAGCGGAGGAAACCCACATGAAAACAATGCAATTAAAGGAGCCAAGTGAACCAAGCCTCTCACGCGAGAGATTCTCGCAGTGAGCCTCTGTGCCCAATGTTCCCAACCACGAGGAAGACCAGGGGAGGCTCATGCCCCTTCAAAGCAAAAGATTCATGTTGAAGAACTGTTGTCTTTGAACTTCCCGTGAAATCCAAGTGCTGTGGAGTGTGGCATCTGTGTGCTGGCTGAGGCAAGCCCACCAAAGGTGTGGCCACCCACAAGTGCTCCCACCTCGAACCCTCCTGTTGGTGGAGTCTGGCTGCTGCCCCCCAGCGCCATGCCCTGAGCAGAACCCAGCAGGAGTGATGCTCTGATGCTGTTGAGTGTGGAGAGGGCTGGAAGTTTTGCCGCCAACTGGGACGGAAGTGCAGGCGAGACCGCTGAGTGATTAGAGGCCGTGGAGCACACGAGGCTAGCGTGGACATGGAAAGGAGCCACACGACATTCCACGTAAGACCAGCAGACACCCACCCAGCCGAGCTCTAACCAACCCCCAGAACTGTGAGAAATAAGGCAGCAGGGATCGAAATCTCCATTTCTGGACTAACTCTTCAAGGCAAGGAAGAGACTCAATAGTTTGGCCCAAGTTTTTTACGTGGCGTCAAGAGCCTCCAACTTACTTCATCATCTTCATCTTCATCGTCGTCAGATTCAAGAACACCATCCAGTAGCTCTTCTATATAAAGAAAAAATAAACGAATGAATAACTGCGAACACAGTGGGGAGCCTTGGCCAACAGAACCCTTCAGCTGCTGCAGAGACAAGAATGAGGTGGCACCAGAACAATCGGGTTTCTGGTGCCCATGCAGCCACCGACTCAGATCATCCCAAGCAACTTAAATCTCTCTCCCCGTTTGTACCAGAACGCACCGGTAGTGGGCATGAGAAAAGTTGAAAGCCAGCATATAATCTGAGAGGAATTTAGAGGAAAGGAAGTGAACGAGTATCACTAGGCACCTAGGCACCGTGCTGGGTACTGTCGCGTGTGCTGTTTACTCCTTACAAAGATTTTGTTGACTCTCATTCCCATTCTATAGCAAAGAGCAAACAGAGGCATAGAGAGGATAAGGGACTTGTTTACGGTCACATTCCCACAGGTGACAGAGTTGAGATTTGACTCGAGTCTATTTCTAAATCCCATGATTTTTCCACAGAGGCCGGAATAGTGGCCATGGCAGTAGGGTTCCCGAAGGCTCTCGTGGTTCACTGCTAGATTGTAAAAGCGCTTATAAAGGGGATAACAGCACATTGGAATCAGAGAAAGAATGAGCCCCTGTTTCTTCATCAGTGAAATGGGTATCAGAACACCTACTTCCTAGGGTGATTGGGGGGATTTTATAACACATCAGAACTACACCACCTGGCCCAGGGTCAGGTACAAAGCAGGTATGACATAGACGTTTGGTTACTTTCTCCTCCACGAAGACTTCCCTGATCCCTCACTGAGTAGTCATCTCTCTTGCTCTGCTGAACACACTCAGCATTTTCTCTAGACAGCACTGTACTAGCATAGTACTAGACAGTACTATAGTATAGTACTAGACGGCAAGGTAATAGATAGTAGTACTAGACAACACTGGGGTAGATAGCGGTACTAGACAGTACTATAGTATAGTACTAGATGGTACTGTAGCAGACAGTAGTACTAGACAGTACGGTAGTACGGTACTAGATGGCATGGTAGTAGACAGTAGTACTAGACAGTACTGCGGTAGACAGCAGTATAGGTACTGTAGTATAGTAGTGCTAGAGAGTACTATAGTCCTAGATGGTACTGCAGTAGACAGTAGTACTAGACAGTACTGTAGTATAGTACTAGACGGGATGGTAGTAGATAGTAGTACTAGGCAACACTGCGGTAGACAGCAGTATTAGTACTGTAGTAGATAGTAGTGCTACACAGTACTGTAGTATAGTACTAGACAGCAGGGTAGTAGATAGTAGTACTAGACAGCACTGCAGTAGACAGCAGTATTAGTACTGTGGTAGATAGCAGTGTTAGACAGTACTGTAGTATAGTACTAAATGGTACTGTAGCAGACAGTAGTACTAGACAGTACTGTAGTATAGTACTAGACGGCACGGTAGTAGATAGTAGTGCTAGACAATACTGTAGTAGATAGTAGTACTAGACAGTACTGTAGTACAGTACTAGATGGCATGGTAGTAGACAGTAGTACTAGAGAGTACTGTAGTATAGTACTAGATGGCATGGTATGAGATAGTAGTACTAGCCAGTACTGTAGTATAGTACTAGTCAGCACTGTAGTAGATAGTAACAGTAGACAGCACTGTGGTAGATGGCAGTACCAGACAGCGCTGTGGTAGACGGTAGTACTAGACAGTACTGTGGTATAGTACTAGACAGCACTATAGTAGACAGTACTCTGATAGTGCTTGCCACTTTTGGATGACCAGTGTTTCCTAATGTATGAATGGCTACGCACTATCTGGGAATTGTGAGTGCCTGGGGAACGAAGCACTGGGCTTACTCATCCCTTTATTCCTTATGTGTCTTCCTTATGATCTCTCATTTCTTGAACAGATGACATGTAAGTAACGGAAGCCTGAGAGAAGAGGGTAGGATGTCAAATAGGAAGCAGGAGGAAAGAGTGAAAGGCAATTCTTTTTTTTTTTTTAAGATTTTATTTATTTTTTTGACAGACACAGCGAGAGAGGGAACACAAGCAGGGGGAGTGGGAGAGGGAGAAGCAGGCCTCCCTCCGAGCAGGGAGCCCGATGCGGGGCTCAGTCCCAGGACCCCGGGATCATGACCTGAGCCGAAGGCAGACGCTTAACGACTGAGCCACCCAGGCGCCCCTCGAAAGGCAATTCTTGAAGAGATTGCTCAGCACACGTAGAAAGGTGGCAGATTCACCCAAACTTAACCCCCAAACCATTTCACAGAAGGGAATATGCAGAAACCCCAGGACACCCATCGTCCTCAACATGAGCCTCATTTCGAAGGGAAGGACTCCACAGACTCGGCTGGACCAAGGACAGCAGGACACAGACTTCTGTCCTCACCTCAGTGGGGCTTGCACGCCTCCATGCCCATCATGGCCCCACCACTGTCAAGAAAACTACTTTGCAGACAGGGGGAAATTATGTCATTCTGCCTCTGAGCTGATGCTGCATTACCTAACTTCTACTCCCTCCCAGCGCATGAGGAGCATGACTCCATTCTACCTGCAGTAAATGCCCATCAAGCAAGTGGTTTTCAAAATGGAATTGCTGTTATATTCATCAATTGTAAACATTTCTTTTTCAAATAACGGAAATGCCCTCTGCCACTTTTAAAAAAGAATCTTTGACATTTTGTGAGGTCATGGCTGGTCCAGCCATACTCCCTCCCCTGAGCCTGTTGGCTCAGAGGCCTCCTCTTTCCAGAACAATCCAGTCCTGAGAACTAAAGTACCTTATCAACCTCAGCTCTTGCTCTAGGGCATGACGGGGGCATCAGCCCAGTTTCCCACGCTGTTCTGTTCGCTGGGCCCTGGCACAAGCAGCTGCCCTCACTCCGGTAACTGCCAGCGTGTGGTGCTGGAGCTGCCAGTTTCCGTGTTTTCCTGAGGACCCAGCCGGCTCGGCTGGCTCTGCCCTGCTCCTGTCCTCTCCACAGTCCCCAGCAAGTATGGGCCAGTCCCCCCGCTGAGGGCTGGTATGACGGACAAACGTCCCTGCTGTTGCTGTTGGCAGTCATCTCCACTTGCCAGGTCACCAGCATTCCCGTAAGCTTCCCCAGAGCAGTCCTTCCTCGCCTGTGGGGAGAGGTTCCCAAAATAGCTAGAATTTTTGTATTTGGAAACCTTAAAACTTTCTAAGATAAGTAGTGCTAGAGAATGGAGACGGGCTTGAATGTATGAAAACCCATTTACATGTCTTAAGTATATACTAAAGTAAAATAAGAAAGTCAAAAAATAAAGATCGTGGCAATGCCATTTCACGTATCTTAAACTAGAAAACTGCTACTAATTCATACTTTCCTGTTACCGTCCACTTGAGGATGAGGCCTGGACTGGGTGGGAACTCCAGCTCTGCCCTCTCTGGCTTTCATCACCATGCTGGTACATTCATCCAGCCTGACTCCATGCTCATGACACATATCCTAAGGTATTTGTGTGTGTATGTCTGGTCCTCCATCCAAATGTTCAGTGACTTTCTAATTTTGGTTCACAGTAGCAGACTCCTAGGTAATAGTCTCTGGGGACCTGCCACTGTCCCATGGATACAGAATAACTTAAGTGCTTGAGATCAAAAAAGAAATACTTCTCACACTCTTTCTTTAAACTGGAACTTACCGAGAAAGGCAGGTGTATCTCAGGCCTTTCCTGGACATAAAGCATGAGCTGCGCCCATGATAACTTCTTGGCAAAGCACATCTCTCACGGAAATGTCAACTGACCCTCCCTCTTCACATTTGTCAGCATGCTGGCTTGAGGGCCAGATTTACGTAAGAGAAAGAGATGGTTTTGGCCAGAGAGCAAGGCGGACCTCCCCCTGTGCCTTGGCTGCCAGGAAGGAGGGAAGACTGACAAAGAAATGGAGGTGGCTATGTCTCGACAGACTGAAACACAGAGTGAGGCTTGAAGAAGATTCGCAGCTAGATGTGACCTTGAGGCTGCATAGGACCCCTGGCCTGGGACGGAGGTCTCAGCATGGCTGATGAGCATGGAGCAGAAAGGGACCAATGCTCCCAGCCTTCCCCCGCTTTCTAAACTGTTGCCTACCCAAAGAAGGTTAGGGAGCAAGCTCAGCCCTGACTGAAGTTAAGGTTTTATTTAGCGTTATTTTGTAAATATGCCTGCCCAGCAGAATTGGGGCTCGAAGTCAGAAGTGAAGCTGTTGCAGGGCGCCTGGGTGGCTCAGTCGTTAAGTGTCTGCCTTCGGCTCAGGTCATGATCCTAGGGTCCTGGATTCAAGCCCCACATCGGGCTCCCTGCTCGGCGGGAAGCCTGCTTCTCCCTCTCCCACTCCCCCTGCTTGTGTTCCCTCTCTCGCTGTGTCCCTCTCTGTCAAATAAATAAAATCTTTAAAAAAAAAAAAGCATCTGCCTTTGGCTCAGGTCATGATCTCAGGGTCCTGGCTCAGCAGGGAGTCTGCTTCTCCCTCTCCCACTCCCCCTGCTTGTGTTCCCCTCTCTCACTGTGTCCCTCTCTGTCAAATAAATAAATAAAATCTTTAAAAAAAAAAAATAGTGTCTGCCTTTGGCTCAGGTCATGATCCCAGGGTCCTGGCTCAGCGGGGAGTCTGCTTCTCCCTCTCCCTCCACCCCTCCTCTCTGCTCATGCTCTCTCTTGCACATGCTCTCTCTCTCAAATAAACAAATAAAATCTAAAAAAAAAAAGAAAGAAAGAAAGAAAGAAAGAAATGAAGCTGTTGCAGGGGACCTGGGTGGCTCAGTCGGTTAAATGTCTGACTCTTGATTTTGGCTCAGGTCGTGATCCCGGGGTCCTGGGATCGAGCCCCGTGTCAGGCTCTGTGCCCAGCGGGGAGTCTGCTTGAGGATTCTCTCTCTCCCTCTCCTTCTGCCCCTCTCTCCACTCGTGTGCGCGCAAGCTCTCTCAAATAATTAAATAAAACTTAAAAAAAAAAAAGAAATGAAGCTGTTGCAAAAAATCAAATTCTATTCCTTGCTCACCTGAATTTGGGATGAATCATATTTGCTCTGTAGGAGCCAAGGAGGAGGATGTTCCCATGGAAACGGGCCCTAAGAGAGATGAGGTCTCACACCTCACTGGCTGCTCTCCCAGCTGCTTGCTTCCTGTTGATCAGGAGCCTCTAAGGCCTCTTTCTGCCTCTCCATTTGTGTGCACGTCAGCGGCAGGGATACACCATCTTGGCTGCCCATGGGGATCACCCAGGAGCTTTAAACATTATTCACACCTGGGGTCCCCCCGGAGATTCTGATTTCACCAGCATGGGATGCTGCCTTGCGGATTTAAAAAACTCCTCAGGTGACTGCCACGTGCAGCCCAGGCTGTGAACCGTGAGCTAGAAGAGCCACCTATGGGCTTCTTCCAGTGAATGGCTTCTGGCAGCTACCTTGCTCAAGCTACTGACTTGGGAGTAGCGATCAGGAGATTTGTTTTTCACCTTCGCTCATGGGCAGGGCAGGATCTGTGCACATGGACTTTCTGTGATGGGAAGGGCATATAGAAAGACATACACGACAAACTTGGCCCTGGAGGCTGGCAGGGCCAGGTGCCTCTGACAGGTCTATGAGTCAGGATCAAGGTGTCAGGGGTCCACAGAAAGAGCTAGCGTTTCCCCTCCATCCTGGTTCCATCCAAAGCTTCCTGCACCTTCCTTTCCTGCTTATTATGGGATGTAGGTTGTCACAGTAATGGAGAAAGCCAGAGAGAAAGAGGATCATATCCTCCCGTGGAGCCAGTAGGCAATATAAATTTTTCTTGAAAGAATGAACACATGCGGGAGAATGATGTTTTCTGTAGCAGTCCTGGGGAGAGTGGCCTTTGTTTTCCTTATCGGGACCCCAGGGAAGCCTTATGAGGTGGGGGAAGAATTAGGAGGGGAAAGCCCACATAAAGAGAATGTAAGGTTAGAGCAGGGTGTTTGTGATTGCTTTTGAATTCTTTTTCTTGACTATAAGCCTGAAGTGTGATGAGAGATCGCTGGTCTTGGGACACACTGGCTTTGACTACCTGGTCAAACTTTTGTTGGTGGGTTCACTTGGGTCTCCCCAACCTCCCTTAAAGCCTCTTGAATGAATTTCAAGACACAACAAGCCTTCTAAGAAAGCTCACACATTTTTCTAGCCCATGTGAAAGATGCAAAAGATCACAGATTCTTGCACTGAACGGACCTGAATTAAGCTGCTTGATGATGAATTCAATCTGGCGGACCATCTCAGCATTGCCTTCTTTGATGAAGCAGCGAAGGATGTCCTCCATTCCCTAGGGGCATTGGAGAGAGTAACAGTTAATATTTCAGGTTTTTTTTTTTTTTTAAACGGGGTGAAACTAGTTTTCAACGGAATAGTTTCACCTAATCAAAAAAAAACCAAACCCTTTATTTGGGGGGGAGGGATATACACAGTAAAAATTCCTCTGCTCAGTACTAAACATTCTTTTTGTTCTTTTTACAATTCACAGTGGAATTATTTTCCTCTTGGTTGACTATCCGACCAAATTATAAAACATTTAGCCAACAAGAAAACCTATTGTACAGGAAACTGGGGGTTGCCAGAAGGAGGTGGGTGGAGGGAGGCGTGAAGTAGCTGAAGGGGATTAGGAGATACAAACTTCCAGTTAGAGAGTAAGTGAGGAGTCACAGAGATTAAAAAAAAAAGGAAGTACAGCATTGGGAATATAGTCAATAACGTTGTAATAATGTTGTATGGTGACAGATGGTGACCGCACTTCTCGTGATGAGCACTGGGTAACATACGGAATTGCTGAATTACTATATTGTACACCTGAAACTAAGATAACACTGTATGTCAACTACACTCTCATAACAAGTGAAAAAAAAACTGTAAAATTTTACTGGGTAAGTATTCCCTTTAGTTTGGGCAGCATGTTGTTTTGGGAGGTGGTTTCTTTTTTATCATTTCTTTATACTCTAACTTCTGGATTTTAGGCACAAAATGAAGAGTAAAACCATATGTGTAGAGAAGTAAATGAACAAGCAGCACCTCTTTTTAAACAGCTATCATTCTTTTTCTCTCAAAATAATTACAAAGTCACCACACTGTACATTATTTACTTCATCATAAAACGCTGGCGTCAGAATTTTCAATATTGACTACGAGAGTTGCAGGGAAACGTCGAGGTAAGACACTGACTCGAGCACATTGTCTGTCTCCCCTCCCTCCTCTTTCCTTGAGGGATGTGAATGAGGATTTGTGGCTGGAGCTGGTGAGGCTTCTTGCCACTACAAGGGGAAAGTGTTTCTCATCATGAACCCAAAACAGAAGAAGCAGAGAGACACGGATCTACTAACAGTGAACTCTGATCAAGCTCTGCCTGAAGCTTATGCCTGGACTTCTCAGTGAAATGAGCCAATATTTCCCTCTTTAAACGTAGGCCTGTTTGGAATCAATAGCTCTAACTGAATCAAAGCAGTGCCAAGTGTGCAGCTTTGAACACGGTGAATTCCCATCGTCTAGAGCAGAGCATTACCTTCTAGAAGGTTAAGACTGGATTGTATCTGAGCTCCCTCATGAATTAACTGTGTGACCTTGGTCAAGTTGCTTAGTTCCTCTCAGCCTGTGTCCTCAACTATAAAATAAAGATGGCAACTCTAGTTAACATGGAATTTTTAAAAGATAAAGAATGTAAATTGGGTATTGGTTATATAGATGTACGTTTGTCAAATGCATTGAACTGCGTATATAAGGCCTATGCATTTCACTGTTTATAACTCATATGTAAAAAAATAGCATCTAGTCCAACTGCTGGCACACAATAGATGCTCAATAAATGGTTAAGATTGTGCTTGCTGTGTTTGGAAGGGTTTTGTGGCTCAGAAGAGAGCTCTGGTAGCTGAGGCCAAGGGAATAAACAAGGTTGCAGGTGACAGAATAGTGAGAGGCTTAGGACAGCATCTTTGAGAACAGTGACATTTAACTGGTAGGCAGAGATAGGTAAGCACACAGAGGAGAACATGAAGGAGTGGTCTGGAAGGGAAGAACAACTGTGGATAGTCCTTGGATCAAGGAAGAGGGTGCCAAGAGGGCAGTAGTCTGCTCCAGCTCAGGGCAGAATGTTTGGCTGGGGTTTAAATCCCACAGAAGAGCTTCGTGGCCGACAATTGCTTCAGCCCTGGACGCAGGAGGCTTTGGAGTAGGCATGAGGGCATCCCTATTGATCTGAACTGCTCTCCTGCCCCAGACCTTGGCAGTCTCTTCCAAGTTCAAATGGGGCTCAGTGCACTCATTTACCATTTTCTCCACTTTGGTGGTATTATTTTGAGACCGCCATAATAGCATTCAGTACTGATATAATTTTTAGGTATTCTTTGTCATTTTCCACCAGCACACAAATAGTTGCAAAAACAGAGTTCTTATAATGTCATACTCTCCTCTCCTGGGACTCCAGCTACATAAGTGTGAGACCTCTGGGTATTGTCCCCCAGGTCTGAGGCACTGTCCCTTTCCTCTACATTTTTTCTCTGTGGCCTGGATGATCTCTAAGGGTCATACCCTCACATCCTACAACTTCGACTCTCTCCTCTCCACCTGGTCCCTGTCCCTTTGCTGCCATTCCCTCCTGTCTTCTCTACCCCTCACCCTGGATGTCCTTCCTCCATGCTGCCTTTCATGCTACTTGATCCATATCACCTCTGTTCTTTCTTTTTCTTCAGCCTACATGTCTGCTTCCTTGTTTCGGCCTTGGTTGACAATTCCTGTCACTGGAATGACCATAATGCAGAATTTAATCAAGTTTATTTTCCCTCTTCTGTATTGAGATAGCAGATTTTATTTTTTTTTTAAAGCAATAGGCAATTAAGTTCCATTATTATATTGTGACCACACAGAATGGTTCTTAATTAAGTTTTTATCTCTGGCATAACTGTTGATGTAATTTTAGATGACTAATTAGGAGATTTAGCAATTCTTCTAAGTAAGCAAAATCAAGTGGAGGAACATGTTTCATTGGTCTCAAACTGAATATGGCCTGTGTTTTGACTGTGGAAATATATTTAATCTCTTCATAGCATTTAATATGCCCACTGTTAACCTGGTTTCACATTACAGGGAAAAGGGCAAAACTCCAGCACTTTTGCTGATTAGATCTAGAAACACTTGTCATCTCAAAAGATGCTAATCACCTGAAGCTTGTTTTGTATTTCTAATATAAACACTAATGTAAACACACTAAATATTGAATTCATTATTTACCAACCAAAGTAGCTACCTGACAGTTTGATCATCATTAGCAGGATTTCTGCCCCCAATGGTTGCTGTCAGAGCACCTGTAGGTTAAGAGTGTCTGGCCTGCACCAGTTTTTTTTTTTTTTTTTTTTTTTAAGATTTTTTATTTATTTGATAGAGAGAGACACAGTGAAAGAGGGAACACAAGTAGGGGGAGTGGGAGAGGGAGAAGCAGGCTTCGCATTGAGCAGGGAGCCCGAGGCGGGGCTCGATCCCAGGACCCTGGGATCATGACCTGAGCCAAAGGCAGACGCTTAACGACTGAGCCACCCAGGTGCCCCTTGGCCTGCACCAGTTCTCACTGCTGCCCCAGGCCCTCGAGGAATCCTGGGGGTGCATTTCATTGGGGACTTTCTCCATTTCACCATTTTCCTGCATGAAATGCATAGACTTACCCAAAGCCCCAAATTAAAATGAATCATTAAAAATGTCTATAAAAATGTAACTTTCCAAAAATAAGCCTGCTGGGAACTTTCTAACACTGTAGTTTTTGTTAGAGAGAGAGAGAGAGATTGAGCATGAGGAAGGCAGGGGCAGAGGGACAGAGAGAATCTTAAGCAGGCTCCACACCCAGTGCAGGGAGCCCAATGTGGGCTCACGACCCTGAGATCAGGACCTGAGCTGATCAAGAGTCAGATGCTCAACCGACTGAGCCATCCCAGTGCCCCTCTAACACTGTAGTTCTTCCTTTTTAAAATTTTTTTTTTTTTTTTTTTTTTTTTTTAGTAGAGAGAGAGAGAGCGAGCACGAGAGGAGGAAGGGTCAGAGCAGGGAGCCTGATGTAGGACTCAGTCCTGGGACTCCAGGATCATGACCTGAGCTGAAGGCAGTTGCTTAACCGACTGAGCCACCCAGGCACCCCTTTAACACTGTAGTTCTTAAGATTTAGGAGTTAGGGATCGCTTTAGAATCTGATAAAAGCTACAGACTCTCTCCCCAGAAAACTGCAAATGCGTATCTGGCATATAATTTCAGGGAGTTCGCAAACTGTGTGTCAGCCACGGAGCCAAGCACGGTCTAGGAGCTCCCTGCTCTAACAGCTTCTGAACTGCGCCACTGACTGAAGCTTACGAACTGCTCAAGCCCATTTTCTTACCATTGCTCTTGCTTCCTCACGAATGGATGGAATAGAAAGGATGCTGTACAGAGCTCCATTCACATACGGCTGTATCTTTAAGGGGAGAAAAAAACAGTCATTTGCAAGTTCTCAAACACTGTACAACTCCGTGATCAACCCCACTCAAGAATAATCTGGCTAAGGAGGAGAGTGAGCGTTACCATCTTCCTGAGCTCCAGGATGCATGTTTCCAAATGACCGATATCTCCATTTGCATGTCCCAGTGGCAGTGACAACTAAGAGTTCAAAGCCACGTTCATTATTGGCTCCCAAAGCTCACTCCTGCTGTGTTTCACTGCTTGACTAACGTCATGCTGATCACGCAGGCTTCTAGAACCGCTGGAGTCATCATCGACTGTTGTCGCTTCTGCTCTCCAGCGTTCAGTCTCCAGGCTGCCTTTGATAGGAACCCTTCTTTCCCACACACACTACCACTGTCCTTGCTCAGACATCGTCCGTGACCTAGGTGACACTCAATCTCCAAAAGAGTCTCTCTCTGTCTTTGATGTTCACACTATAGTCCAACAATCATATCATTGCCAAAATTCTACAACATGGGCCAAATCATCCCTCTTCCTACCTCGGAAACCTTCCCTAGAGCCTACCTGGAAAGTTCTAACTTCTTAGTACAGCACACAGGCCCCTTCAAGGTTTGGCCTCGATATCATGTCCCCCTGCCCCTCCCTTCCTGCCACCTTGAGGTTTACACTGTACAGATTGGTCTCACCCTACTTACAGGGCCCCCCACCACACCACACACTCTGCTGTGCTTCCTGTATATCCCTCCACTGCCGTACTGGATTCAGTGTATTTTTATATTTATACTTCTGTCTCCCCCATTGTGAGCTCTTCAAGGACTGGACCCATGTTTTACGCACATAGGTAACCCCAACATCAAGCTGCACAGGACACAGTACATAGCAGGTGCTTGATAAATGACAGCTCCCTTTTGAGTAGATTTTGTGCTACACCCTCCACAGCAATGGAGGAGGGCCCATTCCCACCATTCTTTTCCAGCACTGGACTTTATTATCCCTTAGTTTTTGCCAGTCTAATGGGTAAAGAGAAAAAAGGCATCTTATGGTTGTTTTTACTTTCATTTTCCTGACTATTGGCAAAACTAACCATCTTGTCTTTATCTATAGGTCATCAAGATTTACTGTTCTGTAAACTGCCCATGTGTGTACTTTACCCTTTTCTTACGTCTTTTTATTACCAACTTATAGGAGCTCTTCATATATAAGGGATATTAAACTTCGGTCCTATGTGATGCAAACTTTTCCTCAGGGTATCATTTGTCTGTTGACTCTTACTGTGGCCTCTTTGTCCATATAAAAAAATTTAATGTTCACAGAGTCAAATCTGTGCATCTTTTTCTTTATGGCTCCCAGGTTTCATTTTCAAGATCACGACTATCTCACACAGGACTCATGTACGTAGCACTGATTTGTGTAGCGAACACATTTCTAAGCTCTAACATGTGTACAGGTAGATTTTCCAGCTCATCTTCAAAGCAGATATATTTGTAACAATCCTCCGGTCTATTCTGTCCTCAGAGGTAACATACTGGTTCCAACACTTGAAACCAACATTTACTATTAGAGACTGAATATATTTCCCGTAGGCTTCAACTGCCTTTGTTGAATAAAATGGAGAACAGAGTCTAGAAGTAGTTAAGAGCTCTTGATTTTAAAATATAAAAAGCATGGCATACACTGTAACAACCACCAACCCTTCACTTGCTGAAGCAGCCCGGGTCACTCAGCTGGTGGGGTGGGGCAGGGGTATGGAAGATGCGAGAGAAATGAAGAGAAGGGGAGCTGTCTGCAACTAAGTGCCTCACTCTGACCCAGTGGTACTCAGTCCTGTCCTGCTAAGACACCCGTGCACCTGATCTGGCTAGAGCGGTCAGGTTTCTGTTGAGGCTTTGGCGTCAGGTGCCAAGTCATGCCACGGTTTCTGCACAGGCATCTGCAGAAAGCCAGTGAGAGAACACTCATACCATTTCGAAGTTTCTGTTAATTAGTTTATCAAGACCTCTACTTCATTTTAAAAGGGCTTATGGCCCATAGGCTAGACGACAGAAAATCCCAAGGTGCTGGGGAGGACACGGGGGAGAGCAGAAGCCGGTAAAGCCACTCTGTGGGACAATGTGGCAGGACTCCGACCTGAGACGGACACACAGGGCGAGCCAGCAGTGATGTGTGTGTCTGCAACCCAGGGGCCCTTGGGGGCCAGGATGGCGATGTCACCGAGGACCGGCGTGGTGGCTGAGGGCTGGAGGCAGCTGAGGTGGACAAGCCTGGGGGACTGGATGGGGGCGCCGCAAACAGGGGCTGTTTTGCAGGGGCGAGATTAAGGAATGAGATGTATACAAAGCAACACAGGAAAGTCTAAAAACACAGTGAAAAGGTAGGAAAAGAATGCGATCTAGAGCGCGATACTACTGACACAATTACACACGTGCAGCAACAGCGTTAACTAAATTTTCAGGCCGCGCCGCAGCACAGGGAGAGCCGACGTGGGGGAAGAATGAAGCAGGGTAAGTGACAAGGAGGAGAATGAGGCCTGGGAGGGAGCTGGTACACACCAGTGATGGTGGAGTGATAGGAAATGAGGAGTTGGGATCAACTTCCGGCTTCCCAGTTCCAGAATTTGGAGGAGGGGGTGCACTGACTAGTGTGGCCAGCCTCCCCCAATCCCCAGGCTAGCAGCGCTGGCCCAGTACCTCGTGGTTCTCATGGCCGAGCAGATCCGAAAGAACTTTTAGCACCAGACCCGCCACCTTGGCACACATGTTCTTCCCTTTAGAAAAAACAATGAGACAAAACACGACATGTCTAAACGCACAACAATCACAGTTTCAAGTCAGGCAGACTTGAACACAAATCTTGGCTTCTCTGCTTATGAACCGTGTGACCCTGGGTGAGTCACTTAGCTAATCTGGGCTCCAGTTTCTTCCTCCTGGGATTCCTTAGGGATTTTTAACATCTACTGCAAAGGGTGATGCAGAAGGAAGTAACTCAGTACAGGCTGCGCATTCCAAGTGCTCAGTAAATGGTGGCACAGAGGGCACAGAGCTATTCATGACCGTGAGTGGAAACACAATCTATTCCAGAGCAATGCTCTGCCTCCCAGGTGCACATACCATCATCATAAAAATCATACAGGTGTCTTAGCCAATCCAAACATCATAACAATCACTGCAAATAAATTGGTGATACTAAGAAAAGCTGCTTAGAATCTGGTAAACGTTTTAAAGCTAGGATACTTGCATATGCTATTCTTTAAGAGAAGACTGAAATCACATTTACTCAGTCAACAACACATGAGTGGTTCAGATTACAAAGCATCCAAAGGCAAAGAAGCTTCTCACAAATACTGCTATTTAACTATGTAACCTTCTTCCAAAACTGGGGCTGCTCAGACCGGGGTCAGCCACAGGCTGGACTTAGCACTTCTTCTAAAGAAGCTTCTTCCAACCCAGGTAACAGATGACTTAAATGGGATGGAACCTCTAGAAAAGCTGCAATCACTACTTTTATGGATCAAATGTCCTGAGATGTGCACGGGAGAATCCCATGTTGGGGGAGTGAAGGGGGAGAGATGGCATGGTTAGGAGCAGGGACACGGTCTGACATCCTTGCTCTGCCCCCCAACTTAGCCCTGTAGAATCTTGGAAACATATTTCTCTGTCTTTGGATAGAATGGATCATAATTCTTCACCTCCTACCTTTGAATAATGCAATGAAGTTGAAGAAAAATGTGAACTATTTTAATTTCCTCTTAATTCGGGCACTGCATACCTCTAAAATGTTCTTTTCCAAGGCCAGAATGGTATCTGGCTTCAGGGATTCAACACCCACATACCTAGTTGGAAATGTTTTACACTCTATTTCTGTTTCAGTTTTCTATGAGGGAGACTAAAGGCAAACCACATCAGGCTGGGTGGTCATCCAGGTTCGACAGTCAGGCTCTCTTCCCCTCCCCCGCACTAAAGCCAGAGGGCCCAGGGACAGGGGGCTGAGAAACCTGCACTCCTGAGGCAGAGGTTCATGAGCAAAGCCACCGAGTACTCCAGTGTATAGTCCGACAGGCAATCGGGGTCCTTCAGAATATCAATCAGCCAGAAGATGAGGCCATCTCGAATCATCGCTGTCTGCAGCGGGCGCCTAGGATGCAAAAGCCTACAGGTCAACTAAAGCTGGCAAGAAACTTTCCCTGTAGGAGTGCGTGGTGATGTGCATGACGATCGGAAAAGACAAACTGATGGGATGCCTGGGTGGCTCAGTTGGTTGAGCGTCCGACTCTTGGTTTTGGCTCAGGTCATGATCTCAGGGTCCTGGAATCGAGCCCCCTGCCGGGCTCTGTACTCAGCGGGAGTCTGCTTGAGGATTCTCTCTCTACCTCTGTCTCCCCCCCGCCTCCCCGGCTCCCTCTCTCTCAAATAAATAAGTAAATCCTAAGGAAAAAAGGAGACAAGACAAACTGTGCGGAAGATACAGACTCTGAAGAATATTTTGTTGTTAGACCCACACACAACTGAAACAACAAATTCTTTACCTTTTGCAGGTATCCCTAAGATTTAGAGAGAGACAAGGCAGTCAGGAGGACTTCTACCTCGAAAATTTCTTTTTCTATTTAAAATGAGCAGAGTACTACTTCAAATATTTAATAAATATTTACTGAAAGCTTTTGGTCTACCTCACCCAGGAGACAGCCATAGAAATAATTCATTGACAAACAGATTTTTAGTAAACTCTAGTCCGGCTAGGCACTTTGAGCTGTGTAAAAACAAAGAAAAGCCAAAAACCAGCTCAATTCCATTTTGATTCAGGTCTCTGTAACGTAAGGGTAGTTTAATGATGTGGGCAATACAATTTATACAGAATTATTTTCTGCCCAAAGTCCAGGTGTAAGATCTTATAAAATCCAACACCTCATCCAAATGTGTTATGGTGAATGTCTTCCTGCCAACCTTAAGAACTGATGAGATTCAGAGCGCCTGGGTGGCTCAGTCGGTTCAGCGTCCGACTCTTGATTTCAGCTCAGGTCATGATCTCAGGGTTGTGAGATCGAGCCCCATGTCCCACTCTGCACTGGGCCTGGAGCCTGCCTAAGACTCTCTACCTCTCCCTCTGCCCCTCCCCCGACCAAAGAACTGATGAGATTCAGCATGATGGTATCACCATGAGAAGTCATGTGAATTCTTTGAAAATCAAAACACCATGAAAGAAACACCATTGCACATCCCCTAATGAACAGGTTACGGAAAAACTCCCACCCAGGACATTATCTGTTTGGGCTATTCTTTTTTTTTTTTTTTTTTTAAGATTTTATTTTTTTTAAGTAATCCCTACACCCAACATGGTGCTGGATCTCACAACCTAGATCAAGAGTCACATGCTCCACTCACCGAGCTAGCCAGGCGCCTGTCTGTGCTATTCTTAAACACCACACTCACCTCACTGGTGAAATTTACTGGAATACAGTGAAGGCTACACTCTTGGTAATCCTAATTACTTTCTACCTTCATTGTACAGACCCTAGAACATTGCAAAAACATTAAGCATATTTCTAGAACAGAACAGCTTATTACTGTTTGAAGCACAAGAAAAACTGGCAATAAATATCTATATTACCAGGAGGAAGTATTCCTTCATTATATCTTATCTTTGTTACTGTAGTTACTAAATTTCCAAAAATTTTCCAAATATGGTCAACATCAACCTAAATTATCTTTCTAAACAAATAAAAACCAAGTGTTCATATGATCTGAGGAAACAAGAGCTTTGCTACTGGAGTTTACTTTTCAATTTACACATAGTTTGAACAAGAACTTTTCATTGGCAGGGACCTGGCAAACAGTAGGAACTGAATACCTACTCCTTTCCCTCTCTAAATGTGCACACTGAGAACAAGTCACTTTGCAGGCCTTAGGTTCCTAGCGAGAGTCAATCACGTGTCAACCACATCTGACAGGAAGCAAGTATGTCCAGAAGAGGACTGATGATCAGAAAAAGCTGAGGACTCAAGGTACTAGAATTCTTCCTGTGGCAAAGAGACAGTGAGGTGCTCCTGAGGGAATCTACATGTTGGAAGAATTCCATGACTCAGTGACTCCACTCCTAGACATTGACTGATGCAGGCGAAGGGAAAGGTTGCAACCACACAGAGACTTGTAGGCAAATGTTCAGAACATGATTAGACACAAAGAGTAGATACAATCCAGATGTCCATCAACTGATGAACAGATAAACCAGATGTGGTCTCTCCATGAAATGGTGTGTTCTTCAGCATTACAAAAGGAGCAAAGTACTCACACAGGCTACCATATGGATGAACCTCAGAAACACTATGCTAAGTGAAAGAAGCCAGTCAAACAGAACACATATTATATGATTCCACTTATCTAAAAATGTCCATTATGGGTAACACTACAAAAAACAAATCAGTGGTTACCTAGGGCTGGGGGTCGGGAAAAGGACTGGAAATGGGCCTGAGGTTTCTTTGTGTGGTGATGGAAATGTTCTAAAATTAGCTTGGGGTGATGGTTGTACAACTCTGTAAGTATACTAAAAATCACTGAACGGTACATTTAAAAAGGGATGAATTTTGTGCTATGAGAGTACACTTCGATAATGCTGTTCATGAAAAAAAAAAAAAAGCTCTAGGTGGATAGAGCATGCCAAGTCCTGACAGGGTCCAGACGGAGACTACAGGGTGGGCGGCTGGAAGCGGGAGGCTCCAAACCTGCCTTCCACGGAACTACCTAGCACACCGACGTGACTGTGTGTTTACGTGCACCTCCCACCACGGGCTGTGAGCAACGTGCAGGCTGAGCCCTATCAGGTTTTGTTCGTGGGCATGTGGCCTGGAACACAATCCAGCCCCTGGTCAGCACCAGCTACTGGTCACGAGGAAACCGCAACAGCACTTCCTCCCTCTGCAGCAGCTTGAGCAGAGGGTTTCGAGGATTCGAGATAAGCTTGCTAGCTCTATCTTGGAAAGTCACCCAACCTCTCCTAAATGTTAACTGAAAATATCATCTGCCTCTTGGGCTGCCCCTGGGACTAAACAGTGGCTCACATAAGCCCTATCTGATTTCACAGGAGCCACCAAGACCTACTGCAGTCAGCACCTGAGGCTGAACTTCTGCAAGGCCCCGAGAACGTTCTCGCGGGTGACGATGTCCTCATCTTCCTCCTTCAGCCTTTCCTCCAGCATCTGCAGCACCTTTGTGCTCTGGGCCAGGTAGAGGCGACCTAATAATATAACCAGAGATGCATGGTCAGAGAATTTATCTTGTGTTAAGTTCATGCCCCAAAATCACTTTCTATGAACACATGGCATGTAATACATGTAGAGTTTAGGTAATTTTAGGTTCTAAGAAAAACTTAGAACCTATTTCTTCTGCAAAGTGGTTTTATCCAATTGACTATCTAATGATGAGAAAACCACTCTTCTTATAATCGAAACATAATTCATCATGGGGCACCTGGGTGGCTCAGTCGGTTAAGCCTCTAACTCTTGATTTCAGCTCAGGTCGTGATCTCAGAATTGTGAGATCAAGCCCCGTGTTGGGCTCCACGCTCACTGGAGTGTCTGCTTCTCCTTCTCTCTCCTCCCCGCCCCCGCCCTCTCAAATAAATAAATAAATAAATAATCTTTAAACATAATTCATCACTATGTTTTTGCGGGGAACACTGCTAGATCTACAGGGAGAAAGAAGGTGAGGAATCTATATGTTATGGGCTCCTTAGTCTTTATAATAGAGGCCGTCAAATAGTAATGCTTTCTGGCCACACTCCTTGCTCCTTCTAGATGTACCCGTGGCCTGGAGAAGGAGTTGGGAACCATACCTGGGACCCTACAATAAGCCTTGAGTTATCACTAGGCCATTGTGGACTTGTGTCTTGATACAGATGATGTTAATGCATGTACCTTCATTCATAATAAAGGTCTGCTAAATGGTTGGAAGAACAAGCAAAAATAATCGAGTGAACCAACTTTTGGAGTATCATATATTCATAATTTGAAAACTCCCTTTATTCACATTTAAAAAGCTGAAACAAAGTAGAACTTATGAAAGATAATGATACTTTGTAAAGTCATTCTGAATTCAGCTTTGGTATGTACTACTTTTGGAATTTTCAAATTCTCTTGGTTTTAGAAGTTATCTGCTTTTTTTTAAAGATTTTATTTGTAAGTACTCTCTACAACCAGTGTGGGGCTTGAACCCACAACCCTGAGAGGTCAAGAGTCACACGCTCCACTGACTGAGCCCACCAGGCAAGGTCTGTACTCTCTTGAAGGAAATGATGCAGTGCCTATGGGATCAGTTCTGATTATTTCACTAACCTTATTTTGCCTTAAGCAGAAAATTACAGAAAATGCATTACCTGTTATATACTTGAAAACAATCTAAATAGTACTGTTACAAAACCAGGAAGCTTATAAAATACAACCAGAAGGCTTATAAACTCTAAAACCATCAAAATTTGCTCTGACATAAACTAAGCAATATGACAACAACCAACTTGCACGAGACACCTTCGATGCACTAAACAGGAATATACTGAGGAAACATATGGCGCCTTTAAGAAACTTGAAGAACGTCCCCTTTCAAAGGAACAGAATGCATTAAATAAGACCCAGCCGTTCTCTTTGAAGAAAGCTGACGACTCACCTTCTGCCAGAGATGCGAATGCATTGACGAGCCGGGCCATGTACTGCCGCACCACCTCGCTCCTGGAGTGCAGCAGCTGGAGCACTCTCCTCTGCGGGTGGAAGCATCCAGAGAGGCAAACGATGAGGTTAAAGGAAACAGAGCTAAACATGCGGCTCCTCTGTGGGCCTGCTGTTCTCTGCCTCTATGCGCAGTTATTAGAGGTGAAACAGACTGAAGACAACAGTTCATCTGGAAATCTCAATTTCCAATTGATTTTTTTTTAAAGATTTTATTTATTTATTTGACAGACAGACACACAGCGAGAGAGGGAACACAAGCAGGGGGAATGGGAGAGGGAGAAGCAGCAGGCTTCCCGCAGAGCAGGGAGCCCGATATGGGGCTCGATCCGAGGACCGTGGGATCATGCATGACCTGAGCCGAAGGCAGACGCTTAACGACTGAGCCCCCCAGGCGCCCCTCCAACTGGCTTTTTTATGAGAGTTGACAAGAACAAGTTACTGAGACTCTAAGCTGAAAGACTGAATTATACAGCGCGCTTAGCCCGTGGCTGGCACAAGGGAGGAATGCTGTTTGTGATGACCACTGCTCCTGTTTTTCCAGGTTCACGACAGATCCGATACATGCATCTAATTTTGCTCCCTGCAAACCACAGTAAAGCTACAGTGCATGAAGTTCTTTAAAAAAGGCATAAATTCTGAAGGACAGAGAGGCAGCACAAGTAATGCTAACAACACGATTTCGGAATTGGGAATGCAGTCACCAGACAGACTTTAGCAGACCCAAGAATACCAAGTCTCGAAGGCAGCAATGGGCAATGAGGAATTACCCAATTTATAGCACTTCATCCTCAAAAGGAAAAAAAAACTAAAGAAGAATGGGTGAAAGCTGTGAAAGCCGCAGCTGGGTCCCACTCTTGCTGCTCCTCCCCACCGTCCTCCCGCCTACTCCCCCCCTTCAGTCTGGGGGTACTCCCTTGCCAGGCTAACACGAAAGGTTTCTGGGGCTGTGAGGAGCGAGTTGGACAGGTAGGGCGGTCAGGGTCAGGGTCCCCAACAAGAAAATATGGAGACAGCTAAGATGAAATAGCACTAACGTCTTGTTTTGCAGCTTAGACAGGATCACACTTGCATTCTATTTTGCAGCCTTTGCAGAAATGACTTCTGCAAAATGTCCTAAAATAAGACCATTAACCACAAGCATTTGTCAATATCACGGGCAAGGGGCAGTTAAGACCTAAGCCCCCAGATGTCAGCAAAAAAAGACCATCAGCACAGAGACATTAACCTAATAGGTAGACAGATATGTGACCAAAGCCCTGATTGGCATGACTCAGCACACTCTGCTTGCTTAAGATAGTTTTGCAGAAGAGCTGATAAAAACCCCTCAACTTAGAAACTCCGGGGGCAACCCACTCAGGCCCCCCACCGGCTCCGGGAGCTTTACACTCTTGCTCAATAACCTTTGTTTTGCTGCCCACCACTCTTTGTCTGGTCTACCTCTTCGTTCTTCGAAGTGGCGTGACTGAGAACCATGGGCACCCAGGGGACAAAGAATCCTATTAACAGAGGGGGACACCTGGCACAGGTGAGCAGGGCTTCTACACCCAAATGGGGAGAAGGAACAGTGCCTAAATGCAGAATGAATACTGAACAGAGAGCACCCCATCCTATTCTCTCCTACATGGCTCCCAGAAGGCTGCACCCAGATCTTCACCCTCTAGGTAGGAGATCAGAAAACTCTTCTTGGAGGAAAATGACCACCAGCCCAAGAGAAAAGAACCAGAGATCCTAAAATCAGAGGTTCCTACTAGAAAGCCCACCTGGATCACCCTCAGTGGAGCTCTGCATCTCCAGGCCCTACCCTCATATTCAGAATTTCCAACTGGCTTTCATTCCCCCACTCAAAACATTATGAGATAACCAAGGTCTACCAGAAACCCAAGGCAAGTTTCCAATATGGGAGACAGGGTTAAAACAAATGGCGGGGGCAACCCGAAGGAAATGGGACTGTGCAGGGAGAAGAAAACCAGAGATAAGCGAAAATGTGTCACTCATAGTAGCCTCAGAGACACAAGAGGCTCTACTGTATCCATGAAAAAACAGATTGCCATAAAAAGGGGGAGTGAAGAACTCGACAGAAGGGATGGAAAATAAAGATGAGATCTCCCAGAAAGCAGAGCAAGAAGAAAAACAGAAAATATGAGAGAGAAGACAGAATCAGAGAACCAGTTCAAGAGGTCCAACATTCAGAGAGAGAGAGAACCGAGAAAACAGAGAGGAAATCATCAACACAATAAAATCGAGAAAAGTTCCCAGAACTGCACTTGTCAGATGGAAAGGGCTCCCAAAGCACTCAAAACAATGAACCAAAATACACCTCATGAAAGATATCAGTGCGACATCTTTTAACACTGGTGATAGAGAGGAGACTCAACAGGCTGCTAGGGAGAAATAACCAGGCCACATACAAAGGATCAGGAAATAGAATGGCTGTGGACTTCTCAACAGCAACACTGGAACCTAAAAGACAACGGAGCAAGATCTTCCAAGTAATGAAGGAAAATTATTTACAACCCAGAGTTTCATACAAAGAATAAAGACTTTTTCTGACATAACGTTATCTCAAAAAATCTACTTCTCACTCCGAAAGCTATTAACTATAGGACGTTACTCTCTCGGACCAACCGAGAGAATAAGAAAGAATAGTGATTCTCGAAAGTGTGGTCCTGGACCAGCAGCAGCAGCATCACCTGAAAACTTGCTGGGGATGCAAATTCGCAGGCCCCATCCCAGACTTACTAAATGGAAACTGCAGGGACCCAGTAGTTTGTGTTTTAATGAGGTTTCCAGGCGATAAGACTGCATGCTAAACTCTGAGAACAGCTCAGTTAGGGAACTCACTAAACGACCGGTCCAATTTCCCGGCTGAAAGGGCCAATCTCTCCGGTGTCATGGTGACACGGCATCCATTTTGCTCGAGTTTTCCTGCTCTGCAGATTCTCTGACACCTTAAGATAGCTCCAGCTCATTCCTCGCTTAAAATAAACCATGGCAATTAAAAATAATGACTTGGGGAAGAAATGACCTGTCTTCGAGGGCTACAGAGATCACAGCATTGTGACAAATATCACAAAACCTAAGACGCCTTTCATTAGAGAACACGTTGTTTTTTATATATACAACCAAGAAAGGCAAGAAGCCAATTAAACTATAACAGGCCATCGACTATTAGATATGCTCTAATTTCCCAGAATCCTAAAATGGGTGGGGGAGGAATGCATCTCAGATTTAATGAAATAAGATAGTTTTAGAAAGATTCAACATTGAATTTATTCTTCAAATCTGAGTTTGTAAAGTCACAACAATATATTTTTCAGTGCTTCATGCCTGATAAGTTGGTTTCAATGCCATTACAAAAATAAGCAGAAATAAAAGTAAAAGGAAATAAGTCAAAAATTTGAAAGACTATTTTTCAAACTAAATACAACTCTTTCACGGGAGTAGTAAGACCTACATTCAAAGAATAAACTGGCAGCTCAAAATTCTCAAACACTACGCCTGTGTGCAGGACAGACTAACGTGTGATTAGCTTCTGCAGGGTGCTGTTTCATCAGCGCTCCTAAGGGGTGTCGATATTCCACCCAGCACACACCCTGTGAAGCTTCAGAACAGGGAGGTAAAGTGTTTAGATCATTTTGGGTAACACTGAATGCAGACAATGAAACGCAGTGTCCTCACACGTGCCATGTTCAAGATCTCACTCCCCCTGTCCAGTGAAGCCCGGTGTTGATAACAGGTAACGGGGTGAGGAGTGGGGAGGGAAACCACCACGTATTGGCTACTCTGTGCTGGCCACTGGGTTAAGTCCTTCCCGTGACCAAACGCAATCATTGCCACAACCTCACGAGGCAGGTGAGGGCTCCTTCTCCGAGATGGGAAGTGCCCAGACACCCAGTATCTTACTTAAGGTTATCTGGCTCATGGGCAGTAGGGCAGAGGTTTAAAACCAGTTAATCTCACTCCGAATCCCATACTTTGCCCACTGCATCATCAGACCTATCTGGTCCAAAACTATATACAAATATTGTGTTAACATATTTTAAGTCAGGCCCAGATGAAAAACAATTGAATTGGCTTACCCGCCTTGCCCACCATAAGTCATGCTGAGCTTGCAGGACTCATGGTTAAGGGGTGGAGTGAGAGAAAGAGTTGGGATTTTGGGAAAAGGAAACATGACAGCAAAGAGCTCCAGAGTTGAATCAAGCAGTTCTAACCTGTTTAGGACTCTATTAGAAGTGAAAAGTGGGCCAATGTCTGGGGTGAGTAGCAGATCTCAGCAGCTATCAGAAGCTCGAGGTCGACATACGGTCACTAGGCTGAAATATCATATAAGTCAAGCCTCCCCCTACTGCTAAGATCACCCCCTCGAAATGAAGGCCCTGGCTGGGCTCTGGCCCATCTCTCACGGACCTGGCTGTGGCTGTGACAATCCAGGAGGTCGTTGCCGATGTAGGCTTCCAGAACGGTCTCCCTCTGCTCTCCAGGAAGGGATGTGGTCAAGCGCTAGAATGAAGAAAAAGTCACACACCCAAGTCTTAATATGGAGAAAAATGTTCATATAGTGGGTATCTTTTAAATGGCAGTAGCAGTAACTACACATTTAACCAAACTAAATAATATTCTGGTGGGGGCGGTGGGAGTAGCTGCCCAGGCAACCAGTCAACTAACAAGAAGTTGCGATGTTATATTTCCTAATGGGTGATGTAGGAGTCAACTCACACACATGAAATCTCCAGAGAAGGGAAGTGATAAAATGCCCAGATGGTAAGTGTATAATTAAGGGAGAGTCCACCAACACCTAGAGGTTTTCTCACACAATGGGAGAAAGGAGGAGCCGACTATTTAGTCAGCACAGGGGAATGTGAGCATGGTGGGGGTTGGGCGGGCGGGGAAGGAAGTGTGGTACAGTACGGGTCTGGGGGGCGTGAAAATGCAGGGGGCATGTGGGGGTGGGCACAGGGCAGGTTGTTGAGGGCTTGGAGCCAATGCATCGCCAACAAATTAGACTTTATCCTATAGGGACTGATGCAGCAATACTGTGTGCGCGCGCGCGCGTACGTGCGTGTGTGCGTGTGTGTGTGTAAGGGGTAGGTGGGTAGGGTTTTGTAGATTCTGAAAGTCATAAGCCTCTTGCATTGTATTAAGGAAGAATTCACTTACTGTCCAGGGGGCTAGAAAAAAAAATGTTGTATGGGGAGTGTGTGAAATTTGGATGTGGGTGTGTACGTGAGTGTGTACAAGCATGAATTCTATGAGAAAGTCACGTAACTAAAGTGACCAAATGTCCTTGCTTTTCCAGGAAAATCCTACTAAAGACCCCTGAGACTGTGGGCCCTGTCTCTGCTGAGGAGGGGCTGGACATGTAAAGAACGACATGGAAGAAGACAAGAGCAGCAGAAACCCCCAGGACTGAAAGGTGGAGGCCTCCAGAGGCGGGTGTAGCCGACAGACTGGATCCACCTTGGCCAAACAGGAAGGCCCTGAGGGGAGAGAGCACCAGATTAAAGGAGGGTGTGCCAAGAGTGTCACAGGTGGGGGCTGCCGCCCTTCCATCCAGTTCCCCGAAGCCGGGGCCAGGGTGCTGGAATAGGGTGGAGGGCTGAGAAGCTGGAGGGGGACACAGACAGATCTTAAGACACCTTTTTATTCTTCCTGGTTATTCTGTGACAATGTCATTCACTCAGCAAAGGAATACCCTGTCTCACCAAGAGGCTCAGTAGCAGGGACTGAGAGGAGGTGCTGGGGGGACAAACTGGGAGCCAGAGCATGAGTTTGCTAACTTGAGCAGACAGAGGCAATGTGCGGGGTAGGGACGGTCGCCTGAGATTCCTCACGCTGCCCACGCACCCTAGTCAGCTGAGGCAGGCATCACCAACTGACCACAGGACTCCTGCTGATCCTGGATGCATCCTCAGAGTACTCCTCAAGACCATATTCCAGGAAGCACGACCAACCATCAGAAGTGCAAGTGAGGAGACCTTTTTCTATAGAGATGGGGAAATTACTCAAAGCCATTTTTGACACCAACATACCCTGAAATTTAGGGATCCATGAAGGGGTCTGACATGATTACAGCCTAAGTAAGAACGGATCATTCGGTTAAAGAGCCAACCAGTGTTGGCCTAGACCTGCAGTTCTCAAAGTGTAGTCTGTGGAATCCTAGGGGGCCCCAAAGACCTTCCAAGGAGCCCACAAGGTCATGATTATTTTCATAATAATACTAAGATATAATGCATCTTTTTAAAAAAGATTTTATTTTATTTCTTTTTAAGATTTTATTTATTTATTTGAGAGAGAGAGAGAAAGTGCACAAGCAGGCGGAGGGGCAGAGGGAGAGGGAAAAACAGACTCACTGCTGAGCAGGGACCCTGACATGGGGCTCAATCCCAGGACTTTGGGATCATGACCTGAGCCGAAGGCAGATGCTTAAACTGGACTGAACCACCCAGGCGCCCCTAAACATTTTATTTTTTTAAGTAATCTCTACACCCAGCGTGGGGCTCGAACTCAAGAACCCGAGATCAAGAGTCGCATGCTCTACTGACTGAGCCAGCCAGGAGCCCCTGATTTACCTTTTTCATGGTCAATCTCTCAGAGGCTATATGAAGTGTGACACTGTGATGAATCAATTGGGGAAGCAGATGTGAGAATCCAGCTGTCCCTCCATCAGGCCAGACATTAAAGAAATTTGCCAAAATATAAAACAATTTCCTTATTAATTTTTTTGTTTGGAAAATAGTTATTTTTAGGGTGCCTGGGTGGCTCAGTTGGTTGGGCATCTGCTTTTGGCTCAGGTCATGATCCCAGGGTCTTGGGATTCAGCCCCACGTTGGGCTCCCTGCTCAGCAGGCAGCCTGCTTCTCCCTCTGACCCTCCCCCATCTCGTGCTCTCTCTCTCTTTCAAAATAAATAAAATCTTTAAAAAACATTTTAAAAAGGAAAATGGTTATTTTTTTATATTTAAAAATATGTTATTTATGTTATGTTCTGGGTTCATTACTGTTCATCTTAAATGAATGAATATTTAAAATGTTCTCAGTTTTGGGGCACCTGGGTGGCTCAGTCGTTAAGTGTCTGCCTTCGGCTCAGGTCATGATCCCAGGGTCCTGGGATGGAGCCCTGCATCGGGCTCCCTGCTAGGCGGGAAGCCTGCTTCTCCCTCTCCCTCTGCCCCTGCTTGTGTTCCCTCTCTCGCTGTGTCTCTCTCTGTCAAATAAATAAATAAAATCTTTAAAAAATAAATAAATAAAAAATAAAATGTTCTCAGTTTTAATTAATTTAATTTAATATAGTATCTACTATAAATATTGGTAGATAAAATTCACATAAACTAAAGCCTTTAAGGTCCTCAGTAATTTGAGAGTGCCAATGCGTCTGAGACTAAAAATCTTGAGAACCACTGGCTTAACTGGGACCAATCTGAAGAGCGGGAAGAAAAGCAACAATTCAGACGAGGCTTGACTTCCCTTAAAAGACTAGTTCATCAGTATCCACCCCTGCTGTCCGCTCGAGTGGCCCCAGGGAGCACCTAAAGGCAGAGGTCTTTGTGAAGCTGTCAAGAGAGTGACTCTGGGCTCTCCCACGCCGACTCCGCGGGCTGGGAGGCTGGCTCACGACTGACGACGGCGGCAGGCTTGACACTGCAGAGAGCAAATGACCAAGGGACAGCACAGGCAACTGTGAGGTCAACAGCCGGTTCTTACCAAGAGGCCAAGGCTGTCTTCAGAAGCTGTTTTTACCTTTAGCTCTTGGTGTCGGCAGGCAGCACGAAGAAGGATTTGTGGTAAATGGGGTACAAGATACAAGCAAGGTAGCCAGCCAAGAAAACCGGCATGGTCTTTTTTTTTTTCTTAACTTCAAGGGAGAGGTACATACCCAGCGCAGAGCCTGCAACAAGAAGGCTTTCAAGCGGTCACTCCCCAAAATCAAATCCTTCTTCAGTTTCTCATAATCCAAGGAGGGCAGCAATGGGACATCCTTCAGTTTCCTACTCAGCCACACAAGTTCAGAGAAAGAGAAAAGGGCAAAAGGGAACATTCGTTAGACCTCCTGAGTATCGGGACACCAGCGGCGGCCCAGCTGTTTTCTCCACTCCTGGAACCAAGTCCAGGCTCCCCGCCCCTCCAGCATCATCGAGCTCGGTTCTGCCTGTGGATGTACTGGGGCTTCGTTGAACGTCTTTCCCTGAAGGAGGAGTCCCTGCCTGACCAGGTTTAGAGAGCACTGCGTTCACACTGGGCCAGGTCTCCGTCCCACGGAGATGGAATCACCTCGGAGGCACCAGAACTTGCTGCACCGCTCAAATCCTATTTAGAATCTGGAGCAAAGCCCCCAAAGACCTCCAGCAGCGGCCCGCAAGAGTTCTCCCTAAAAACCCGCAGCCATCGTCCCGCTCAAGCCCCAGGCACCGAACTGGGGGGGGGGTGCGAAGGACAGACCAGGGTTAGAAAACAACTGTAAAGAGCAGGTGCACCGTCGACCCCCAAGGCAGTAAAGGGTGTGCTAGGAAGTAGCGCGGGTTCATCTCTGGGAGAGTGCCAAGTAGGACACTTGGCAAACCCTCCTCGAGAGGACACAAGTGGAGCCCTCAGCAGAAGCCAGTTTCCTTTGTTCCACAGGAGGGGACTGGGGTGCGTGGGAGAACCAGTGAAAAGGGAGCGAGGCCTGCGGTCTAGCTAACAGCACTGTACCCATGTTAACGTCCTTGCTTTGATGTTGTACTTGTCACAGAAGATTCACCATGGGAGGGGGAGGGGGCCTGGGGGGGGTCAACTTCCTGTGACTCTATAAATCATTTCAGCATAAAACAAGTCAAAAACAACAGTATGGTTTTCCGGACACTGTGCAGGGAATATTAATACTAAGATCAATACTCCCGGCACAATACTAAATGGGGGCTCATGAGGACTTGGGTGAAAAGATGCATGATAATGGGTTCTGGGGTGCCCGGCTGGCTCATTCGGTACAGCGTGCAACTCTTGATCTTGGGGTTGTGAGTCTGAGCTCCATGTTGGAGGCAGAGATTACAAAAATAATAAAATCTTTAAAAAAAAAGATTAAGGGTTCTTCTGCTTTTCATTGACGTGTAACCGAGCTACATTACATTAGTTGCAGGCCCTCAACATAATGATTCGCCATTTGTACATAGTGTGTAGTGGTCACCACACTCTCTTTACCCTCTGTCACCATACAAGGTTCCCATGTTTCCTTTCTTGGGATAAGAATTTTTTTTTTAAAGATTTATTTATTTACTTATTTATTTGAGAGAGGGCGAATGAGCGGGCGAGAGAGAGAGAGAGAGAGAGAGTACATGACAGGGGGAGGGTCAGAGGAAGAAGCAGGCTCCCCGCTGAGCAGGGAGCCCGATGCGGGACTCGATCCCGGGACTCCAGGATCATGACCTGAGCCAAAGGCAGTCGCTTAACCAACTGAGCCACCCAGGTGCCCATGGGATGAGAATTTTTAAGATTTACTTTCTCAGCAACTTTTAAATTTGCAATACAGTATTTACTGACTATAGCTCCCAGGCTGTCCACTGCAACCCAGGAGTTTCTATTTTATAAGTGCAAGTTTGTACCTCTTGGTCTCCTTCACCCATTTCAGTCGTTGCATTAGTTTTAAAGGGTGCAAGAGAGGTAAGGGTGGGTGCAAGGGTGGAAAGGAGGTAAGACGCCAGCGGGACAGCATTTAGGGTACTGTAAATTTTCTTTGTATGTGCCTATAGCGTTCAACTTTTCTATAATGAGCATGTATTAACATTATAAAAAAATACATGCTAGTTTTCTTAATGTGAGTTTTTAAAAGACAAAATGAGATCCTCTCATAAGGCCCAGGAGAAAAGGCCTGAGAATGGGGCAACAGAGGAGATCTCAGTAAACACGCCTGGGAGGAGGTTCTATTCTGCACATCACACAGCAGAGCCACGCACATGTGCACACTGCTTATTCTGACACGTATTTTCCTGAGGCAGATACTACTGTGTTTAAAATTAACACAGATGGGCGCCTGGGTGGCTCAGTTGGTTGAGCGACTGCCTTCAGCTCAGGTCATGATCCTGGAGTCCCGGGATCGAGTCCCACATCGGGCTCCCTGCTCGGCGGGGAGCCTGCTTCTCCCTCTGACCCTCTCCCCTCTCATGTACTCTCTCTCTTGTTCTCGCTCTCTCAAATAAATAAATCTTTAAAAAAAAAAAATAAAATAAAATTAACACAGATACTTTAGAAATTCCAATTACAAAGAACTGGCCAGTATTCTTCGAAAATGTGAAGGCCATGAAAGAGTCTGAAGAATGACTTCAAAAGAAAGGAAACACAGACAGGACAACCACATCAACGTGTGACCCTAGACTGAATGCTGGGCCAGACGAAGGACGCAATAGAGCAGCTGGTAAAATGTGAGGAAGGCCTGTGGGTGAGATGATACGGCGTCAGCATTAATTTTCTGACTTTGATAACTGTACCGGGCTTACGCAAAATATCAACATGCGGAATCTGGGTGAAGGGCATAGGGGAATTCTTTGTACAATATGTGCAACTGTGAAATTATTTCAACATAAAAAAAGATTTTTTAATTTAAAATTTAAACAAGGTCTTGTTCTAGACAAAAAAGTTCCATTTGTAAAGCCACATCTAAAATTGTTCTATAGCTGGGGTGCTTCCTCTGGAGGGAAGAGAAGTTATCAAACGCAGGCCATAGTTACTTGCCCATAATGGCAATATTAGCCACCAAATTTATCGCCAATTAAGTTGCTCAGCAGCCCCACATTTCTGTGGTTCAGCCACTCTCCCACTGCCCAAGAGGACTGTGTCATACCTTCTCCGTTGTCCCCTTTAGCCCCTCCACTGACTACCCCCTTTACTCTCTGCAGGTAAGCTTGCCTCTTACACCACTGGGAATAACATTAGCAAACACCCAGAGAGTTTATTAAGTCCCCCAGCATTGTACTAAGTGCTTTATACACATGAACTCATTTTTATCCTCACAATAAGCCTATAAGAAAGTTACTACTATTACTGTCTTTTCACAAGTGAAGAAACTGAGACACAGGGAAGTTACATAACTGGTCCAAGGCCACAGAGCCGGCAGCAGAGGAGGGATTTTTAACCCTGGCAGTCTGTCTCATACGCACTACATTATACAGCCACCGTCTGAAGAGAACAAAGTGCAGGGTCAGCGTCAGACTCAGGTAGGACTGAGGGAGGAGGCAGGCTGTCTCTCTCTCAGGTGTCTGAGTAATCTGACAGCACCCCCCGAAACCCCACAACAAGGGTGGGCCTCAGAGGGTCACCAGAACCCACCCTGGTCCTCATGCCTCTGCCAAAGGTTCTCAACTTCCTTGTTACTGCAACATACATACCAGATGAAGTTCCCGAACATCAGACACCCACACGGGTGACAACCTAATCGATTTGGATAGGAATGCTCAGGCAACCACAAAGCTATCCTGTGGCCCTGGTCCCATGTGAGCCAGCAAAGAACATAAAATTTAGACATTGCAACACTCTGTTGACTGCCCTACAATAGAAGATTAATCTCTATAGAACATCATAGGAACAATTCAACAATTTTTTTTCCATTTGATGTGATCTCGCCAAAATAAATAGAATTAATACTAAAAGATACTTTTAGTTTAACAGTATTACTTAGAATTACTGGTATTTCCTTTATATCCACACGGAGCTCTAGCTAATCAAAGGCTCTCCTCTAAGCTGGGCTGTTAAGATGAACGTTTATCAAAGTCTGAATTCTAGTTTTACTTAGAGCTGTTTACCATCCTAACAATTCCTAAGAGCAATTACTTACCCGGGTGCCAAGGAGGCTCTTAACATGGTTGAAGCCTAGAGGTGGGGGTGGAAAGAGAAGAGAGCCCGTGTTAAGCAGTGAGAACAATGCATTAATCCTAAATCACTCTACTCACACAGAATCAACAGATTTGCAAATTTTTGATCCATCAGGATTCTCCTATCATAATCATATATGATTTAAAAATTAGCCCAAACAGGGATGCCTGCATGGCTCAGTCGGTTAAGCGTCCAACTCCTGATTTCAGATCTCTGGGTCATGAGATGAGCCCGGCGTCAGGCTCTGCGCAGAGTCTGCTTGTCCCTCTCCCTCGGCTCTACCCCTGCCCCCAGGCTCGCGGGCATGCTCGCTAGCACACTCTCTCTCTAAAACAAAGAAAGAAAGAAAATTTAAAATAAATAAATAAAAAATAAAATAAAATAAAATAAAATAAAATAAAATAAAAATTAGCCCAAACTGAAGTTAAGCTACACACTACTCAAGTAGTTCCCAAGCTGCCTACCACCCTTGGTTTGTTGTGACTCTGCTCCAAGGAATACTTCATAAAAAACCAAGCGAGTTCTCCCCAGCCAAACTCTGAGAGGCGCTTAAAGCTGCCTAGTCAGGTGTCACAGAGAACAAAAGTAATGAAAAGCGCTTTATTATCCTGACTTTTTTCTTAAATTAACTCTTTTTTAAATTTTTTAAAATATTTTATTTATTTATTTGAGAGAGAGAATGAGAGATAGAGAGAGAGCATGAGAGGGGGGAGGGTCAGAGGGAGAAGCAGACTCCCCGCTGAGCAGGGAGCCCGATGCGGGACTCGATCCTGGGACTCCAGGATCATGACCCGAGCCGAAGGCAGTCGCTTAACCAGCTGAGTCACCCAGGCGCCCTATCCTGACTTTTTTCTTTATTAAGATTTTCTCCTTAGGGGCGCCTGGGTGGCTCAGTCGTTAAGTGTCTGCCTTCGGCTCAGGTCATGATCCCAGGGTTCTGGGATCGAGCCCTGTATCGGGCTCCCTGCTTCGCGGGAAGCCTGCCTCTCCCTCTCCCACTCCCCCTGCTTGTGTTCCCTCCCTCACTGTGTCTCTCTCTGTCAAATAAATAAATAAAATCTTAAAAAAAAAAAAAAGATTTTCTCTTTGAGTATAACAATAACATGCACTTGGTACCAAATCTAACCCTATAGAGGTGTTTATAGAAAATCCCCCTCCCACCCTACTCCCTTTTAATCTTATTTATAGGCCAAATCACTGCCCACTGTATGGATATTCAGTGTCCTACTTATTGTTTGTTTTGTTTTTGCCACTACAAACAATGCTGAATTAAACATGTACTAAAATAGACTAGAGAAACAAAAAACCAAATGTTGTGTGTGGTGCTTGGTTGGACCCACTCAAACCAACTGTAAAAGATGTTTTGAGACAATAAGGGAAATCTAAGTATGGACCACACGGATACTGTATGATACTGAGGAATTCGTGCCAATTGTATTTGGCATTGCAGTATGTTTGCTTTTTGTTTTGTAAAGCCCTTATCTGTTAGATAAATATATTGAATTATTTACAGGTAAAGTGATAGAATGTTTGGGATAGGTTCTAAGGAACTCCAGGAAAAAAAAGTAAGGAGAGAAGAGAAGAGATCTTGGCCCTCTGTGGAGCTCTTCCAGAAGCGGTGGGCAGTGGATCTCCATCTGCTCTGTGTCACCACAGCTCTTGAATGGTCATTATCCACACTTACCGCAATGAACTGTGATTATTTTGCAATGATTTCTGTGCTTTCTCCTTTAGCAGATACCGAGTTCCATAACAAGTGGAGATATATTACCCTTTATATATGTACCCAGCACCTGGTACAGTGCCTGGGCATACAGAGGCACGTGATCAACATTTGTTGAATGAATGAATGAATGAATCAATCAATCAATGAACGAATGAATGACGACTGACTTCTCAACATGGGCTCTCCAGAATCCTTGACTGATAAACTGGCCCTAGTTGATGATTCCATTCTCGACTGTGTCCGTCTGCAGTATTTACAGGCCACACAGATTCCCACCTTGGAGACAGCAAACTTCACTTTTAAAGGGCTCATGACCATGTATGTTTTTATATTTTTTAACCCTTGACTTTTTTTTTAATTAAAGGAAATGCCTATTCCTGTTATTGGCTTAAAGAGCAAGGAGTTGAGAAAATAAATTTGAAATGGATATAAATTACTCATCTAACACATTAAGACGACCAAGAAGCCAAGATAATAAGTCAAATGAGTCAAATAAGGGCATAGACATATTAAAATATTAGCTTAGGGGTGCCTGGGTGGCTCAGTCGTTCAGCGTCTGCCTTCAGCTCAGGTCATGATCCCAGCGTCCTGGGATCGAGCCCCGCATTGGGCTCCCTGCTCAGCCGGAAGCCTGCTTCTCCCTCTCCCACTCCCCCTGCTTGTGTTCCCTCTCTCGCTGTGTCTCTCTCTGTCAAATAAATAAAATCTTTAAAAAAAAATATTAGCTTAATATAAACACAAAATAAAAATATTTTTAGGGGTGCCTGGGTGGCTCAGTCTGTTAAGCGTCTGCCTTCGGCTCAGGTCACGATCCCAGGGTCCTGGGATCGAGCCCCACATTGAGCTCCCTGCTCAGAATTTCTACCTGAGCAGAGGGTGAAATGGAAGCATTATGTCTCCATCGCTGCTCAGCTGCAGGCAAGGAACCTGAGCCTGGCCCTCAGCCGTTACTGCTCCCTGAAGCCAGTGGTCATGGGGTGGGGACAAGGATGGATGGGGGCCACATGAGCGGGCCAACAGCAAGATGAGGAGCTTTGCCCATGTTTTGTGACATCAGAAAGGGTTTTGAGGGATCGGTCTAAGCTGTAACATGACAAAGTGTCCCTTGGTCAAAGCGTCTGCAGATGTACCAGGTGGGACTCTTGAAGAGTCTTTAGTTCACTGCTGAGTGTTGTGAATCTCAGAATATGGCATGTCCCAAACTTCAAACATCAGCCGTTGGCTCTGGGGACAGCAAACCCTCTAGGATTAGTGTCTGTAGGCACTTGCTTTGGAAAAAGCTGCTCTATAGGACATCGCTACCGCCAACTCTGCAACACTAAGGGCTACTTGCACAACATGGGACTACAGGGGTACGTGCAGGAGGGGAGGGCTGAAATGAGACACTGTGCACATGGCATTTGGAAATGCGGCTGAGTCAGTGGAGTGGGAGTGCCGAGTTGCTGAACGTGCTTTCCGGGCAGGTGCCTCTCTGGCTTACCAGGTCACAGAGGGCACCACCCTGGGCCCTGCCTCCACCCTGTAGACTGCAGGCATCTGAGAGCCTGGGGCTAGGCAAGGTATGCGGCAACAGGCTCACTTGGGGAAGTGCTAGGGGCCGGGGTGCTGAGGCCTCTTGGGCTTTCTGTGACCAGAGCTGAGCGTGGAGAGACAGATGGGTATTAGATCAGAGAAGGCTGTGGACTCCATGCTGAGCACTGTGGACCTGGAGCAACGACAGGTATTAAGCAAGACAGTAACATGATAGATGCCTGTACGTACCTACATCCCTCCTGAAACTTGAGGGCATAAATAAATAAGACACAACCAGAAAGGTCACCCCCGCTCCCGCACGCATGAGTAATCCGATAGGTGAGAGCTTTCAGACTGAGATCGGTTAGGAAATGTTGCTTTAGCCAGGAGAGAAAGAGGAAGAGCCCGAACAGACACAAAGCAACAAAGACAAGGGGCAGGAGGGAGGAAGGCGCTCAGATCCCGAGACTGCCTGAACATAGGGCCCGAAAGAGGGAAGAAGCTTGGATGATTCACAGGTGTTCTCTGGAGTGTATCTGCCAAGACAGGAAGTACAGGAGGGGAGACCATCTGTCTGAAGGAAAAGATGAGCCTGTTTTTGGACGCAGAAATGATGTGCCTATCAGACATTCACAGGGAGAAAGCTTGTAAGTCTGAGTCTGGAAGTCAGAAGAGAAATCTGAGCTAGAGGTACAGACACTCTCTGCCAATCACGGTCCCACCAACTGGCTGAGATCAAAGGTGATCAATCCTCACATCACCAGGGTCAGGTCAGGTATGGGCATTGGGGTAGGAAGTGTAGCAGGGAGAGGTGAGCCAGGTGTGCAACTCCTCCTCAGTACAACGGAGCATGAGACCCAAAAAGGCTTCCTTGAGGTGCAGTGGCGAGGCAGACAAGGAGCAGGCATCTTGCCAAGACTTAAGAAAGCAACATAATGGACAACATAAAGTCTGATGGTGTTGAACTTTAAGCCAGAGCCACCGTCCACACAACAAGCTTTAGGAAGAATCCTCCTCAGCAGAACAATGCCAAGCAGTGTTTTGTGAGCAACTGCATGAGGCCATCCAAGAAAGGGTCACCGCCACCAGCCCCAGCCCCCTGCAGGTTTTTATTGCTAAGAAGGATGGCTGATTTTGAAGTAAATGCTTTCTAAGATTTGCATGTCCTGAGCCTTAAATATATATAATGCAATCACACCTGGCAGTATTTTAACTTATATTCCCAATGGAGTCTACTTGGGAGTTGCTGAAAAAGAATTAATTCCCAAATGGGCCATTTTTTCAAATAAGGTTGTATTTAAATGAAATGTCTCCAGCCAATGAACCCCAAAACCCACAGGTACCACTAGGTAGGACTTGGGACTCACCCACAGAGCTATGCTTGGGTTTCCACCTTTGTGGAGTCAGCACTGTATCATGGTCAACCCTCCCCCTCCCCACTCCTGCCCTACAATGGACGCCCTACATGGGTAAGGATGGTCACTCTCCTCCATCAGGCACTCCTTCCCTGGGGTGTCTCTGCATTTGTGCTTACTCAGTATAAACAGAGGACTAAGAAGAGAGACAAACCACGGTGCCTTCCCATGCTATCTGCAGATAAAAAGATGTATGCTGAATCATTATCAGAAACAGCAAAAAACTGAAACGCCACCTAAAGGTTTGCAAGAGGAATGGTTAAATGGACCACACTGCTCTTAAATTAAAACTCTAAAAGATAAGGAAAATAGGAATAAATCCAGAAGGATATAGAAAACTCTTTAAAACAGTTGCAGAGTGATATGTCTAATAAAAACCTTAATTCTATATAATTTTTTAAAGTCGGGAAGGATGGATGTGAAAGTCACCAGGGTCACCTATGGAGGGAGAGGAGATGGGTAAGTGTGAGGGAGAGACGGGTTTGTGTTCACTTTACTATTAGATTGTTGTTTTCCAGTGAGCACATTTGTGTATTACTTGTACATGTACAATCTTAGAAAACAAAAAATCCCTGCCTTTTGTGCCCTGAGGGAGAGGTTTCCCTTCTTTACAATGATCAGATTGCTGAAAATGTAAACACAGATTTACCTTGTCTCCCAGGAGATACTAACCCATGGTCTGGAGCCTGAGCTGGTGACGAGAGCAGGATGACAAACCAGGGGGTAGGGTGGTGACAGGCAATCAAACTGGAAGGGGCCACCTGAGAGAGTTCTCTTTTCAAAAAATCAATCCTGCCATTATTAGTCCTTCTGGGAACATCGGAATTTGATCACCAGCTCTGCTCATGTGAGTGGAGTTCCGGACACAGTTATGTGGGCATGAACTAGGCCCCACTCCTGGTGTCTCCTCTGCAGGGCCCTGCACCAGCATAATCCCCCTGCTCCAGGGCGTGAATTCCTGGCTTTGGGGGTTTGAGAGAGAACTGGGCACGCATAGCCCTGCTTCCTGCTTCCCGGCTGGGGGAAGATGAGCGCTCCCAGGGAGCAGAGGTCAGTCCTAGAGCCCTTGGGTCCTCACTGCCAGTGGTGCTGGGAGAGGGGAGGGGCTTGGCTAGAGCTGGCCGTCACTGGGTGGCCACATTTCTTGAAGGCCAGGATTTAAATGTAGGAAACCCACCTGTCTACAAAGAAAATCCACATTCTCCAACATAAGCTTCATCAGAGTTGATGGCAATATTGCCAGCCCCTTTTTCCTTTATTGTCCTATTTTCCAAATGGTTCAGAACTCGGGGGTTAGAAGGGTGTTATTTACCGAGTCCTTCTGAACTTTCAACAGCGAGTGAGGTTGCAGAAGGCCAGATTCTTAACAGCCAGTTTTAAAGAACAGTATCAAACGTACTAAACTTTATGGATACCAGCAGTGTTCTGATGGGCCCGGGCCAGCTCCTTTATAGAGTACAACGAACTGGAACACTCAAAGGCAACAGAACAGAGAGGAGCTGATGGAGGACCACACTAAAGGGCACGCCGGGCCGTGCCCACCTCTTTATCTTGAAACTGATGGCATTGTGTTTGGACCTAGCGTAGAACTTAAACCCCCGGCAAATAAGAAAGCGGCCCTGCTCTCCGTCCTGCCATTCAACCACCAGAATTCCTATCTAAGTTGTACCTTCACACGTTATAAATCCAATATCCTACACTGACTGTAGGCTTGCCCAGCCAACTATGTTCTATTATACTTTTACAAGGATGTTCTTTTACAGTGACTCACATCCACTTTTTATCATCTTAGAGAGAAATCTATGGGAATAATAAAAGATTGTTTGCAGCTTTTATTGCCTGTTCCTAAGTCAGTGACTCAGGAGAAAGAAAATGGTTAGGAACTAAGATAAACAGAGCTCATCCTCTCTCTTCTGGCTTCTAAGCCCAGAATCTGTACCTTAATACCACTGTAACAGGGAAGGATGATAGCACTAGTCTCTTGACAAAAGACATTAATGTCTAATGGGATAAAATACCAGATATGATGTGCCCCCCCTTTTAAACTGCTCCTTATTAACATGATATCCATTTTAAATAAGCTGGATGCCTCACTCCGCCAACAGAAAGTGAAAATATAAGGATGCTTGTATATATGCAAGATAGGATGGGATTTTATAACACAGACCTGAAAAACACTTAAGTACTTGCTGAGCTAATAAATAAGTGGAAGGGAGGGAGGCAAGGAGTAGTCTAGACACAGGTCCTGCTATGCTAATTCCTGCTAGAAAGCCATCCTTTTTGGTAAACATGCTCCTTAACTGACTTAGAGCTAAACGTACAGTGTACACAGAGGGTCAACTCAGCCAGTCCTCGGGGATGTGGCATGAAGCCCCTCATTCTGGAAGGCCCACAAGGAAGTTACTTTTCTGAAACTCGGATGTCTCTGTGTGCTTTCCTGACATTTAAAAATGGCCGATTCCCTAAGATTTCTGCACGCTAAAACCACTGTGGCTGCACAGACCCTGCAGCTTCTATTTTTTAAAAAAAGATTTTATTTATTTATTTGACAGACAGGCAGAGAGAGAGAGAGAAAAAAAAAAAAACAAGCAGGGAAAGCAGCAGAGGGAGAGGGAGAAGCGGGGCTCGATCCCAGGACCCCGGGATCATGACCTGAGCTGAAGGCAGCCGCTTAACCGACTGAGCCACCCAGGTGCCCCCCTGTAGCTTCTATTATCCACGTGTCTATGCCCCTACCACCCACGGCTCTACAATGCTTCTGTGAGCAGCCGAGTGATGGGGTCAGGGACATCTGCTCTCCGCCACGTTACTATGTCCTTTCTGTGAAGACCCACAAAAGAAACTGGCAGTGTAAAGGGCCCAGGGAGGGCGTCAGTGGCCCAGGACTGGTCTGTCCGGGGCATGTGTGGCGGGCTCGGGGGCATTCGGCTCACTGCTGTGCTTCCCACGTTGCGTGTGTAGCATGTATGTTGTTGCAGGTGCGGTGAAAGGTAGCTAATGAACATCACGCAACCGTCTTTCTTCCCCGGGAGTAAATCATGTACCTGCTCACGGCGCTGTGCGGCACGGGCTGCGAGGAAGCTCTGAGCCGGTCTGTCCCTGCTTCCACAGGCGTCCGGCAGCCCTGACACGCACGTTTGTACTGGCCCTGGCTGGTGCTCATTTGTACTGTCCTACCCTCACTGTCCTTTAACCACAGTTTCTCCCCCCGCCCCCCGCAGCATTACTGAGACGTAGTTGACAGAGGACACTGTGTAAGTTTAAGGTGTACAAAGTGCTGCATTGATACACGTATATCTGTGAAATGATCACTGCAATCAGGTTAGTTAACACGCCCGTCACCTCAGTTACTCTGCGGGCGGTGGTGAGGACATTTAAGATCTACTCTCTTAGTAACCTTCCAGTATATAATGGAGTATTGCTTTTTTTTTTTTTTAAGAATTTATTTATTCATTTGACAGAGAGAGACACAGCGAGAGAGGGAACACAAGTAGGGGGAGTGGGAGAGGGAGAGGCAGACTCCCCGTGGAGCAGGGAGCCTGATGCGGGGCTCGATCCCAGGACCCTGAGATCATGACCTGAGCCGAAGGCAGACGCTTAACGACTGAGCTACCCAGGCGCCCCTAATGGAGTATTGTTAACATTAGCCACCACGCTATAAAGTCCCAGAGCTTATTCATCTTATAACCAGAAGTTATACCCTTTGACCAACATCTCCCACTTCCCCCACCTCCCGGCCCCAGGCAACCACCACTCTACTTTCCATTTCTGAGTTCTAACTACAATTTTGTTCTTTCCATCTTCTATTTTTTTTTTTTTATTTCTCATATTTGTGTTTTCTCATAATAAGCTGCTTCAAACATACTTGAGAATGAAGTAGGGTATACATTTTTCCTTAATACTAAAAAAGGCCTCTGTTTATGAATACCCTAATATTAATGTGCAAACCCTCCCCCTTAATTAAAAGCCGTGGCTCTGACCCATGGGGGTGCCTCAGGATCCCCTGGCACTTCCTTCCGAACTGAATACGCCTGGCTCCAGCATTGAGCCTGTGGCCCAGACAGCAGGTTGAGGTGAGCTCCAGGGACATGGGTTCAAGAACTTTGAAAACGTCCGCAGGAGACACTGGTGTACTCGTTCCCCAGGTTAAGAACCCCAACACAACACCACATGCCTCTGGATGAGCTATCCTAAGAAGGACGCAACATCACCTAACTAATATTTTGCCCTGGGAGGCAAGCCCTGAATCTAATCACGAGGAAATATGAAACACAAAAAGGGAAATGTTCAATTTTTTAAATGAGGGAACAACTATAGAGGACATGGCTCAGGTGACAAATTGGAACATGCTCAGATTAGGTAAGAGCATCATAAAGACATTAAATTTACTAAAGCGGATCACTGTATGGTTACATAAGAGAATACTCCTATTAAGAAATGAACTCTAGGGGTGCCGGAGTGGCTCAGTCATTAAGCGTCTGCCTTCGGGTCCTGGGATCGAGCCCCGCATTGGGCTCCCTGCTCCACAGGAGGCCTGCTTCTCCCTCTCCCACTTCCCCTGCCTGTGTTCCCTCTCTTGCTGTGTTTCTGTCAAATAAATAAATAAAATCTTTATTAAAAAAAAGAAAGAAAGAAATGAACTCTACACTGGAGTAAAACGCCATAATATATGTGATTTATTCTCAACTGGCTCAGAAAATAGAATGTGTGTGTGTGTGTGTGTGTGTGTGTGTGTGTGTGCAGACAAAGTAAACAAATGGGCAAAATGCCAACAGTTGCTGGATCTGGGTAAAGGGTATACAAGTGTCTTTTGTGCTATTTTTGTGACTTCTTTGTAAGTTTGCAATTATTCCAAGTAAAAAGTTAAGAAAAGAAAAAGAGAGAGCACCTGTTTTTGACTGTACAGCTTCCAATATGGCAGTTATTTTAAAAAAGAGAATGAAGTTTCCTTCCTTTCCTATTGATTTGCACACTGTTACCAGTAAGGCCTTGGCACGGAACAGCCCCAAAGGGAAGAGCAGACTGTACCTCTCTCCCGCCGCCCCCAGGACGCAGGCCCCAGCTGCTCACTCCTCAAAAACAGCTTTCTTTTCCTTCTGGGACTTTACAGACCTCTGAAATGCAGACTCCTGCATGTTATTTGCCCTTGCTCTTTCATTTTTTTTAGTTAGGCTATGTTTAAATCTGGGGGGCAGACGCGGGGCCCAGAGCCTCACCGTCCCAGGCCTCGTGAAGTCCACGCTGTGGGCCAGGCTCTGCCGCATCTGGTCACTGAAGAGACGGACACACACACTCTGGAGGTACTCCGGGGTGATCTGCGGAGAGGGCGCGAAGATGGCTGGTGAGAGGCCCAAAACTCCCGCAGGGACATCACGGGCCCCAGCGATTAGCAGAGCCCTCACTGGGATTTCTGTAAGGTACGCACAGGAGCTCTGGGAGCTAAAGCACTGGGCCCGACAGAAATAAACCGCTAACATACTGCAGGTATGATCGTGGGCTATCATATTTTGAATTCTGTAATTGCACGAGATGGTACTCTCACGGTCATGTAAAAGAAACTGATTTTAAACCATTTCTGTGTGTGTGTGAATTCCAGCAGGAAAGTCAATCAGGTGGCCAACGGGTGGTAGAAAGAATGGTGGGCTTAACATCTGAAAATCTGGGCTCAAGCCCTGGACTCAAGAAAGCTAACAGCTCTGCCCCTTGCCTTCTGATCTGTTGAGTGAGATGAACAGTCTGCATCTGTGGGTCATGGTGACAGGGTGAATGAGATCACGCATATGCCCGGCACGGGCCAGGTCTCTCGGGGAGTGCTTGCGGAACGAATGGTGGAGACATTTTTGATTGAGTGCCGGCCAGCGTGAGGCTGCCCTGCTGTCCCCGTCAATGGCACTTGATTCTGGCCTTTCTTTAGCACCTCTTCCACCCTCTCGTTAGCTACTGTAACTCAGGACTGGCATACAGCATCTCAGGTGGTAATCTCTGAATTTTTTCTTTTCATTTTACATCTTCTCTTTTTATAAAACGAATGCACATTTAAATCGCACAAGTGCCCCAACCTCTCCCCGAGTCCCATCCTTCCCCATATGCCAATCCCTGGAGGTAACTACTAACCATTTTGCACCCTTCCAGCCTTTTTTTTTTTTTTTTTTTTTTTTTTGCCTGTTTGCCGGAGGGGAAGCTCCTTTTCCCTGGGCTCATGATTCCATGTGGTGAACTCCCACATGGTCATGTCACTGGCCCCTCTCCGCACCCTCACTCGATTGTCCCCATGCGAGGACTATGCAACCCATTCACAAGTTAGAAAGAGCTGCAATGCGGAGCTGCACCCACTTCTCTCCTTGGAGGACTCCACTGACCCACTGGAAACTTCTGGTCTGCTTCAGACACATGAAAGGCTCTGTGCAGCCATGGCAGATGTCTGTACTCATCCCCTGGCACTCAGCTCTATGTGAAGCGACTCAGACAAAGAAGCGCCCCATCTCAGGCCTGCACTTGCCACATTATCCTGCATCCATTTCCTCTGAATTTCGATAGTATCAAAATGTAAACAATTCCTTTCTCCTCCTATATTTTTAACCTTTCCTTTTACACCTTTTCATTGTCTATAACCTAAAAACACATCCAAATATAGTTCATATTTAAAAAGCACCTTCCCCTTCCTGTACCCTAGGTCTTCATCTATCGACCACCGGCTCAGTATTCTTCCTTCACAGCCAAGGTCCTCAAAAGAACAGCCCACGTTTGCTGTCTCACTGCCCCTGGACCTCCCAACACACTACAATTAGGCTTCCAGCCTCATCACTCCATGGAAACTCCCATGGCAAAGGACACCACCACTGACCTTCTAAATGTCAAAATCATTGGACACTTTTCAGTTCTAGTCTTCTGTGGCTTCTGAGTTTTGCATCACCCCTTACTCCTGAAACTGTTTCCTCCTTTGACTTCTGAAACTGCTACCAGAACCATTTCTTAAACAAGAAAATTTGACTGTGTCACTTTCTTGCTTAAAACGGGTGAATGAGGAAAGGACACAAATAATCAGTAGACTAAAAAGCAAAGTACAAATGGCCAACAAACATATGAAAATATATTCAGCCTCATACATAATTAAAGAAATATAAATTGAAACATAAAACACCAAGTTTTACTTAACAAAACCGGGAAAGAGTTCAAAGTATAATCAAAGTATAATAGAGTCTAGTGCTGGCAAGTGTGTGGAGAAATAAACACTCTGATACAGATAAACTCCTGGGAGGGTTGGGTAGACATCTTTGAACTCTCAGGAGAAATAATTTGGCAACATCTATCAAAATGTTAATGCCCATAACCTTTGACCTAACAATTCCACTCTTAGGATATCACTTTATCTGTTTTCAAAGGTATACAGTACATACAAGAATATTCATTGCAACATTTTTTTTTGTTCTAGCAGACAAAAAATCTAAATGTTCACCATCAAAGATCTGACGAATTATGGTTCACCCTTACAACGGCATAATGTACAAGCCTAGAAAAGAATGAGGGTAGTGTGGTCATGTGGAAAGATCTCCAAGATATACCGAAAGTAAAACACCAAGTTTCAGAAGAATAATGGGTCATAGGATCCCAAGTATATGTAGGCTGCATGCACACACATGCATATGCATAGAAATGTTTGGAAATAATACACAAGAAAATGTTCATCTTGAATACAAATAAAGAAGGGACACTAAGAAACTGTGTCTGGGAGGGTGCTTCTGCTCTTTAGTATAGACTACTCAGAGTTGTTCCAATTTGTTACCACAAACGTGTATTTTTTTTACATTAAAAACAAGCCAGTTAAAAGTCTGGTCCCTGGCCCTACCGTCACGTCACCTCTCTCCCTGTGCGGTGGCAGTAGGAGCTCATGTGCCCATCCCTGGTCAGCAGGCCACACCTGACACCACATGACTCTGGCTCTTTTGGTAGCTGTTGTTTAACAGGAGAGAAGGGAAACAAAGGCATATGCTTTTCTTTTTATTTATTTCTGTATTGTTTGAACCTTCTGTGTGCCCTTATTTGTTACCAGAGATTACAGAAGCCATGTATGGTTTCTTTCTGATACTTTTCTTTTTTTTTAAGATTTTATTTATTTATTTGACAGAGAGAGACAGCCAGAGAGGGAACACAAGCAGGGGGAGTGGGAGAGGGAGAAGCAGGCTTCCTGCTGAGCAGGGAGCCCAATGCAGGGCTCGATCCCAGGACCCTGGGATCATGACCTGAGCCGAAGGCCCACGTTTTAACGACTAAGCCACCCAGGCGCCCCTACTTTTCTGTTTTAAAGAAAAGTCAACACATGCTATTTTTAAAACTAGAAAAAAAGCTAATTAATTTGAAAAGTCCAATTTTTAAGGTATACATTTCAAAAGCTGCTCACTAACTACAGGACAAAGCAAAACTTCCTAAACATGGTCTCTAGGCCTCCCCAATCTTTGGGAGATGGTCTTTGCCGGTCCGTCTTCCCTGCATCACCTGCCAGCATGTGGCCACCTCCCCAGCTTCGGCCGTTCTGGCCGCACCAAGCAACTTGCAGCAGTTTGTGGGCTATGCGTTCACAGGAACAAAGAGGCTTTCAGTACAGGATACTACAACATATTAAAAAGCTACTATGGTAAAAAATACAATGCATTACTAGCTTAAGAATAGTCAGATCATGGGCGCCTGGGTGGCTCAGTTAGTTAAGTGACTGCCTTCGGCTCAGGTCATGATCCCGGAGTCCTGGGATCGAGTTCCACATCGGGCTCCCAGCTCAGCGGGGACCCTGCTTCTCCCTCTGACCCTCTCCCCTCTCATGCTGTTTCTCTCTCTCTCAAATAAATAAATAAATAAAATCTTTAAAAAAAAAAAAAGAATAGTCAGATCATGGGGTGCCTGGTGGCTCAGTCGTTAAGTGTCTGCCTTCAGCTCAGGTCCCAGGGCCCTGGGATCAAGCCCCGCATCTGACTCCCTGCTCCGTGGGAAGCCTGCTTCTCCCTCTCCCACTCCCCCTGCTTGTGTTCCTTCTCTCGCTTTGTCTCTCTCTGTCAAATAAATAAATAAAATCTTTAAAAAAAGAAAAAATAATCAATGGAAAAAATTAAAATCCCACTACATGATAAAGGTAGCCATTCAAATTGGTACAGAAAGACAGAAGTAAATAGTTCTGGCTCAAATGGTTATCTTTTTTTGGGGGGGTAATTTCTTCCTTATATCATCTATTAAAATAAATTCCATATGGATTAAAGATTTAAAAGTAAAATTAAAACAATAAAAACCAAACAAAATGACCAACAGAAAAAAGTTAAGGTGAGTATTAATTTGGCTCCCTTAGTGGGAAAAGCTTCTTTGCACTTCAGAGCTTCAAAGCACTTCGAAAAGGCAGAGTGAATGAAGGGAAAACTTGATAAATTGATTTGACTATACAAATCCATAAATTTTACGAAACTAAGAAACACTAATTTAAAAACCAAAAAACAAACTATGGAAAATATTCACAAAAGATGAATTCTGAATGGCCTGTGTCTTAACAGTGATGTCCAAAGCTATATTCCTGCTTTCCCCTAAAACCTGTTCCACCCGAGGCTGTCCCTGTCACAGCTGGTGGCGCCGCCCCTGCACCCCCCCACACACAGCTTAGGCCAAAAACGTGGAGTCGTCCGTGATCCCCCCAACCCCTGTCCAGGTCCAAGCCAGCATGAGACGCAGTTCGCTCTATCTCCTAACACACCCAGCGGGGCACCTCTCTGGCCCCACTTGCTACCTCCTCCACCACCAGGTCTGCCCTGGTGACTGCAAGACCCTCCTGCTGGTCTCTCTAGTTCCCCTAACCTTCCAAGGACCGTTCTAAAGCAACGAGAGCTGATACTTCCACAGCATCCAGACCACCCCACCCCACTGCTCTGCTCCCCAGTTTACTCAGAGTAAAGGCCCCATCCTTAACGGCCCTTGGACCCCTGACCTGCTGTGTGCCGTTCCTCCTCCCTCGCCGGGCTCCTCAAACAGGAGAGACACACGTCCACTTTTGGTCCTTTGCACCCTTCTCCTTTGGCCTAGAACTCTGGGGAGAATCCCCGAGGACTGCATACCTAATACCCTCACCTCTTCCAATGAAGCTCAAATGAAGCACACCCTGACTACCAATTTAAAATTGCCTCCGGCCCACATCCCCACACATCCCCACCACAAACCCTGATCCCCTTCACCCCTACAGCGATTGTCATCTTCTAACACATGACGTCATTAATTATCTGTGTTTACATGTGCCGTTTATTAGCTCTCGCCCCTACTGGAATGTATGCTCCCTGAGGTCAAGGATCTTTGTGTTGTCGTCCGATAGATCCTACATGACTAGAACAGGGAGGGCCTGGTGCACAGTAAGCATGCAATAAATCTGTGTTCAACGAATGAGAGAAGCATATAAAAAATGTTCAATGTCATGTGTAAAGAGTATAATGTGTATTTAAATCCTGAGATACTATTTCTCATTGATTAAATCTGCAAACAAATACAAATGTTAATGCTAATACCCAGGACTGGCAAGGGTATAATGATAAAAAGAACTGCCAGTAGACTCAGATGAGCAGAACCTTCCAACAGGACCTTAGTATAGATTTCAACCTAGAAAATCAACTTTAAAAAATGTAACCGGGGCCCCTGGCTGGCTCAATTGGTGGAGTGTGTGACTCTTGATCTCGGGGTTGTGGGTTTGAGCCCCATGTTGGGTGCAGAGATGACTTACATAAATAAAACTTTAAAAAAATAAATAAAACTAAAAATGTCACAGAGGCTCATCTCCTCCCATGACATTTATAATTTATGACAGTGGAAAGCTGGAAATGATGTAGATGTCCAACTGCAGGGACTGGACACTAAGTGAAGTACGACAATGCCATATAAGGGGATTGAAGCCACTAACGCTTGAGGCTTGTAGAATAATGCCTTCAAGAATGCAAGATTCAGTATTAAGGAAAAAAGATTAGAAAACTTTGGGTGAACTAGAGTCCATTTCTGTAAAACACATGTAGTCAAGCACTGAAAAAAATACGGAATGTTAACAAGTGTTATTACTAAGTGACACAATTACAGGTAATTTTAATTTCACTTTTGCACAGTTCTCTATTCCTAAAAATTTTTATAATACATATTATTTTGTAAGCATATTTTTAAGTCACTAAAAAATCTTATTTTTTTTTAAGTAACCTCTATGCCAAACATGGGGCTCAAACTCACAACCCCAAGATCGAGAGTCACATGCTCTACCAACTGAGCCAGCCAGGCACCCCACTAAAAACAATTTTAATACACAACCTTACATTTGTGACAAAATGATACAGAACTTGATACATGCACATGAGGACAAAACTGGGGAAATCAGAATAAGATCAACAGACTGGATCAATGTCAGCGTTCTGGTTGTAGTACTGTACTATGGTTATACGGTTACCATTGGGGGAAACTGGGCAATGTGCCAAGACTCTCTTTGCATTATTTCTTAAAGTTGCATGCGAATCTACAATAATTCCATTTTTATAGAAAAATGTATATTTCCACAAAGAAATTTTATTATACTTTCTAATTTTTTAGTAAGTGAAACACTAAAGTCATTCCCATTAAAGTCAGAAATAAGACAAGGAAGCCCATGGCCACATTATTTGACAGTGCTCCACAGTCTTAGCAAGTATGCTAAGAAAAAAGAAAAGTCATTACAAATAACGAAACAAAACAAAACAAAAATATTATTATTTGAAGATGGTATGACTGCTAACCTAGAATACAGGAGAATCAATCAAAAGAATCTATCAGATTAACAGAGTTCAGAAGGATAGCTGGATATAAAATCAATATGTGAAAATCTGTAACTTTCCTTTACACCAGCAGCGTATTTCCCTCATTTTTATGCCACTCCATATTATTTTTTTTTGTTGCCAGACAATTTATTCTTTGCTAATGTTAGGAATAAAGATGTGGTCGATAGTGTGTCAGGAAAAATGGATAAAATACTGCAAGCAGCACAATAACCGGTGTGGAATGTCTGCGTGGTCTCCTTTCTGCTCTTGGCTTTGTGAGGCACAGGGGCAGGTCTCACTGGCTGGGAGCGGCCAGGAATCCCATTATCAACACAGCCCGGCTCTTAACACTTCTTTCGCTCCTAACAGACACACGAGTGACTGCGGATCTTTCTTACCATCTTGCCACTGACGGTGGCCTCCAGAGAATCCACCAGCTCTGCTGTGACCCCGATGAGATTGTGGTAGTCTGCCTGAATCTTGTTGTACCGCTTCAGGTACGTCACTGACCTTCGCTCGGCTTCTACCAGCTGCTGGTGGAGCTGCTGTGACATTTCTAGGAAGACAATACATATTGAAACAAATAAACAGTAAGAAAACCCCACAAAATAAAAAATAATCATATTCTTCTCAAGGGAGTATCATGCCTACTTTCAGAGTATTTTGCTATCACAATGAACTTAACATTATTCGTGTTTAACACTTTGTTGCTATTTCTCCACATGTTTAATTACCAAGTGCTGTGCAACCACTGATTTTCAATTTCTTGTCTCTGGTAGTTCAACTGAACCATCACTAGTTTTCTTCACACAATCTTTCCTTGACTGAGCTCCATGCAATTTCTTTTAGTTGTTCTATGTACAAGAAACAAACTCAGTGTTTCTTTTTACAATCAGCTCACAAACTGGATGAACCAAACCTCTGTCTTTTCCTGGTTTTGCCTTGTGATGTTGTCCGGGGGACAGTAAGTATCTGCAGGACAGTTCTTCATTTTAAGTAAAGGTTAGGCTACTTGACTAATGCTGAGAAAGCTAGAATCCAGAATTAGGTAAGGTTCCAGGTGCTCACTCTGCCAGCTTGATAAAGCACAAACCAGCCCACTGGGCCTTAGAGCAGGCAGCCTTGGAAGCTGTTAGGGCTCTCTTCTTGGACTCCCCATCAGGGGCAGCGCTTGATGGCCAAGCCACCCAGGACACAGCTGGGATAGCAAATCTTCATCCATGTCAACACTCCTTTGCCCTATCCTACTTTCTGCCCTCTCAGAGGGCTAAGTTTGGATCGAAGGAAATGACGCTGCCCCCAGACCCAAGTTAACTCCCTCCTGTCCCAATCCAGGTACTGCATAATAGTTAAAAGTCATTGTTTCTGAACACATTTCATCTATACAGAGAGAAATTTTAAAATCATAAAGACCTGGGCTCAAGCCCCTCTTCTACCACATTCTTGCTGGACACCTTGGGCAAGATACTTAACTTCTCTGATACTCATTTCTTTCTTTGTATATTTTTTTGAGAGAGAGAGAGAGAGAGAGAGGATGCATGCAAGGGGGAGGCAGGGCAGAGGGAGAGAGAGAATCCTAAGCAGGCTCCATGCCCCACAGAGCCCAACAGGGGGCTCGATCTCACGACCCTGAGACCATGACCTGAGGTGAAATCAAGCGTCGGACACTTAACCAACTGAGCCACCCAGGCGCCCCTGATTCTCATGCCTTATGAAATGGGGATGATAATGACCTTGAAGAGTTACTGTGGGATTGTACTGCACAGGGAATACAGTCAATGATATTGTAATAACACTTATCCAGGTGAGCATTGAGTATTGCACACCTGAAACTAATGTAACACTGTATGTCAACCACACTTTAATTTTAAAAAAGCACACATACAAAACCGAGTCATTGTGAGGATTCAATGAACAGATACATCCAAGTGCCTAGCTCACTGCTGGCCCACGGGAGGAAGTCAATAAGTGGCAGCAATTACTACTGTTTCCTCTTTGGGAAGGGCCAAAGATTTTCTAAATGTATTTCTATGCAAGAAGATAACCTGAAAAACCCAGAGGTTACACTGTAAAACAGTAAGACGCAAAGTTTGAAATATGTTAGAAGCATCCAAAAATAAAGATGATCAAGCCTCACTTCCAGAGACTCTGATTTTGTGGCTGTGGGCTGGGGGCTGAGAAACTGTAGGGTCAACAAAGTCCCCACATGGCTCTGACACATACCACAAGTTTGAGAACGGCAGTCCTAACTCATCTGTTCCTCTTGGTGTTCTTTTTTTTTTAAAGATTTTATTTGTTTATTTGACAGAGAGAGACACAGTGAGAGAGGGAACACAAGCAGGGGAAGTGGGAGAGGGAGAAGCAGGCTTCCCGCCGAGCAGGGAGCCTGATGCGGGACTCGATCCCAGGACCCTGGGATCATGACCTGAGCCGAAGGCAGATGCCTAACGACTGAGCCACCCAGGCGCCCCTCCTCTTGGTGTTCTAAAGAGCCATGAAGATCATGCACAAACTGTATTTCAAAAACTTTGTTTCATGATTATGTGTAGAAGTAAAATATTTTAACTATTAAAACCCAAAACATCACATAATAATGAACTAACATTATTATTGCTTAGCATCCTTCAAATCTTTTAAACTCCTCTGGCATAAACTTACATCCAGGGGCGCCTGGGTGGCTCCATCGTTAAGCGTCTGCCTTTGGCTCAGGTCATGATCCCAGGGCCCTGGGACCAAGTCCCGCATCAGGCTCCCTGCTCAGCGAGAAGCTTGCTTCTCCCTCTCCCACTCCCCCTGCTTGTGTTCCTGCTCTCTCTCTCTCTCTGTCGAATAAATAAATAAAATCTTTTAAAAATAAATAAATAAATAAAAATAAACTTACATCATGTATTGAATCTTTGGAGAACATCTCTGGAAATCATTTATCGAGTTTTTACTTAAATATTATTAGGGAGAAGGAGTCACTACCATCTCCCTATGCTCAGTTACATAAGCTAGAACTTCTGATGATGAAAATTCTACAGGATGGTTTATAATTCCATTTCGTGGTAATGACTATTAGAGAGTATCTGGGAGAACTTTCTCAACGTGTACCAAGTGGCAAATGATGAATGAAGAACCCAAACCCATTAACTGGGGCAAATGACCTCACAAATCATCAATATAAAAGCCACCAAAGTTGTCCCTCTTGAAAGGGGACTGCACAAAGGAACACTCCCCCTCGGAAACTCACTGCGCAATTAGCTAAATGTAAGGGACCCAGAAATATCCGTGACCATTTCAAACACACTGTTTAGCAGCCTGCTCTACAGAGACTGATACCACCTTGCAGACACCTTAGCTGCCTACAAACAGGACCTGACCATTACTGGAAGCTACTGGGGTCGCAGCTCTAAGATCTCAACTTTATTTCTGAGCATTAAAAAGAACTCTGACTCTTTTTTCCTTCTCAAAAATTTTATGAGACAAGGACGACTGAGCCAACATCCCTAGCCGTGCAAGAGCTCAACTTTTAGCAGAGAGGTCTCATTTCAAATTCCATGTTATATTAATGAAACTGTCTTAGTCATGGCAGTGATATTTATCGAGACTCTTCATATTTCAAAACTACTGGCAGAATTTGTACCAAAATCCAAAGAACTACATCCCAAGTTTTAAACAAGGAGATATATACAACTAAAAGAATGTGGGTTAAGGTCACAGAAAGTTTCTCGATCATTCCAGCATGCATTCAAACAGTAACAAATGTGATGGAGATCTCCCCTGTGGGCAAGCCTCAAGCTTTCTCTTAACATTTCCACTTTAAGTACATTGCCTTTTTTTTTTTTTTAAAGAGTAGATGAGATTTAATTTTAGCGATCCCTTTGTTGCTCAAGACAAAATGGTACATTTTAAAACACGGAACTATTTTTCCAACATCTAAAAATCTAAAATCAATTACTCTAACTTTACAATACAATATACTCTCTCTTCTTTGTATTCAGATATAAATTGGCTCTTTGCTGTTTTGCTAATCCACAAGTACTGGATGAAGAAAGTTATGATGTATAACTTTCTGGTCATCATTTTTAAAGTACCATTTAAGGCTCAAAAAAAAATACCATTTAAGGCTCTACACTCTAGAAAAATGGTCAGTTGCTCATTTTCTGAAGGAGTCAAATCAATTAATGGCAAAAATGCCAAAAGATACGATTTCTCTACCTTTTTTAGATGGCCAGGTAAAATAATAACACAATACGCTGTATTTCCAACCTGAATTTTTCTTCTAAACTTCATTTTAAAATATAATTCCTTTTCAGAGAATTTTCCACTCCAAGCACTTTTTTTTTTTTTTTAAAGATTTTACTTATTTGACAGAGAGAGAGAGAGAGCACAAGCAGGGGGAGCGGCAGGCAGAAGGAGAGGGAGAAACAGGCTCCCCGAGGAGCAGGGAGCCTGATGCAGGGCTCGATCCCAGGAACCTGAGCCGAAGGCAGATACTTAACCAACTGAGCCACCCAGGTGCCCCTCCAAGCACTTTTCTTGCCTCCTTCAAAAGCTTATGGAAATCTTAGCTGATCCATGAAACCTTCCTATCAAGACACACAGAATAATGACTTGCCCAACCATTCAATGTAAAAAGCAACACCTAAGTCTAGAATTAAATTAAATTGGGGGCATGTCTGGGCTTTGAGATCACTGCAGCCATTAAGTGTGGGAGGAGGGGACAAAGTGCAGACAACTGGCTGTCATGACACCGGCCGGGCCCCTGGTACCAGGGCTGGTGCTAATCTCTGGTCTCCATGGCAATGCTGCATTGGCGCTTATTTAGCCACAGCCACACGCTGGGCCTGCCAGTCTCAATTCCACAGAAATTCTGCTTGGCATCCTCAGAAAACTCAATTAAAACTGAACCTAAAAAAGGCTCAGACACCCTGGTCTCCTTGCTGAAATCCAAAGGAAAGATCTATAGAAAAACACAGGCTCTTCCCCTCCCAGATTTTGCACTCCCCCTCCCAGATTTATTTTATCTGTAAAATTGGGCTACTTCTCAGAGACATGACTGGTTCCTGGCAGAAAGCTATCCTCTGAAGCTGCAGGATATGTTGGGGTGACAAGGGCTGGCTGAGATTCAGGAATCGGGGAGGTTTCCCACCACTTTCCCTCCACCAGTACCGAGGAGTTCAAAGACTGAATCTGAACAGAGGCCAAGCAGATTCAGTCAAGAACTAAGGCGATCTTCTGAAACTCTTTTTAAGGATGCAGGTTGAGGTAGTGGTTTTAAAATGAGTGCCCCGTCTTTGACACTCCTTCCTATCAAGAGGTGGAAGGTCATTCTCCTTCCTTTGAATGTAGATTGGCCTTAGGAATTGCTTCTAATGATAATGTAGCAGAAGTGACACTGAGTTACTTGAGAGGCTGGTTTAGAAAAGGTGATGCAGCTTCCACTGGCTCTGTCTGGGGACATTCGCCCTTGGAACCCAGCCACCACACCGCGAGGAAGCCTAGGCCATGTAGGAGTTCCACTCAAGGGCCTCAGCACCAGCCACCAGACTTGTGCAGGTGGGTGAGGAAGCCTTGAAGATGGCTCCACCAGGCTCCATCGGCATCCAGGAGACACCGAGGGAGAACTGCCTGAGCACACGATTCCCGGACCATGCAAGATGGTGATAATAATATAAATGGACATTGTTGTTTTATGCCACTAAGCCTGAGATGGTGTACTAGGTTGGAACAGAAACAGAAATAGTGGGGCAAAGCTGCATTTCCAGGAGTTGCAGGGCAGGACCCAAATGCCCAGAGCAACTTATGAATTCCCACTGTTCTGGGGGTGCCTGGGTGGTTAAGCAACGACTCTTGGTTTTGGCTCAGGTCATGATCTCGGGGTCCTGGGATTCAGCCCCACATTGGGCCCCGTGCTCAGCGCAGGGGTCTGCTTGAGGACTGGAAAGGGTATATGATGTGTTTCAGGCCTTCGGTAAGTTCTGGTGGCATAATCCTCAGTCCCACTCCCTCTGCCCTGCCCTCCCCTCCCCCCTCACGCGCTCTGTCTCTCAAAATGGATAAGGAAATTGTTAAAAAAAAAAAAAAAAAAAGAATCCTCACTGTTCCAAACATGAGAAAACTGGCACGGGACCCACTCCGGCCAAGGCCCGGGAACTATACTAACTCTTCAGGGAGCAGGCCCGAGGAGCCGAAGAAATCCGCTCAGGCTCATCTTTGGGCTTAACTACACTGCGGGCGGAGCAGTCTCTGGAGCGCCAAGGTGACCCGGGGAGCATTCCACGTTGACCCCATACACCCACATCTGGGTTCAGGCAAGGACCAAACAAGGATCCCCCGTGAAGGATCGGTGGGGCCTGTCCCTCTGAGCTCCGGGGGGTTGGCGGGGCTGGCGGGGCCACGCACACACGTGGGGCCACGCACACACGCAGAGCCGCTGGGCTGGGGAGAGGCAAGGCTACACAAGGCCGAAACAGGCATCCAGACTTCCCGCTACCTCCCTCCTGGGGTGTCAAATCTAAAGCTCGTCTGTCACCTCCCTGGAAAGCAAAGAGCTAAATAATTTACTAATACTTCCTTTCTTTACAAAACTTTAATTTTCTAAAAAAAAAAAACCAAAACAACAACAACAACACACACACACACACCCATGGCGAAACAATGGCAGGAAGTTTTAAGATCAGCTCTAACACTACCCTGCGGCAGGAGGGGCAGATGTGCGATTCCACGTAGTAAAACTCCACCTGCTGGGGACTGAGGATTAGGCCACCAGAATTTAGCGCAGGCGTGAACGCTTCACACAGCCTTTCCAACATTTCAGCAGTTTCCTAATGTAGCATCGAGGCCGAAACTCAGGCAAAGAACCACAATTGTGGCCACTGACTTTGTTTTGTTGTTGTTTTTTTAAACAAACCCTTCTGTCAAGGGCTGACCGGCTACTGACTTCATATTAACTAAAGTTTTTCTCACCTTACCGAAAAATGAATAGTTCTGGTTAAAAAAAAAAAAAAAGCTAATAATGGAAAACCATCATTTTATGCTAAAAACTTAATGTTGGAATTCCTACTTTGAATGCAAAAACTGGAAATGCTTCTAAGATGGGTGCTCCAAATTGCTACAGAAATAACACCCCCCTAGACTAGTTCAAGACAAAAATGACAGATACTAAAATGATTCTTCCCCCCACCTGCTCCTCCCCTGCACTGTGTCTTCTGGCTGTGCCCTTTGGGACAGGGCCTAGATTCCCTTCATCTCTCCACATCTGGGTTACCTGATGTGCCAGCCCTACTGCAGAGGGGGCCTCAAGGAACCACAGCTAAACTTGATTGCAAAGCACTTCATAAATATTTAGACTCTGTTTTATTTAAAAAAAATATTTAGACTTTTAAAGCCCTTGTTCACCAAGTGCACGAATTTTCTCCATCTCTGCTCCTATCCCACTACTCAAAAGTGAGTCAAAACTTTTGAGTTGGCAAAACTGTTCTTTAAAAAATGTTAATCTAGGGGTGCCTGGGTGGCTCAGTCGGTTAAACGACTGACTCTTGGTTTCAGCGCAGGTCATGATCTCAGGGTCATGAGATCGAGCCCCACGTTAGGCTCCGTGCTTAGCTTGGAATCTGCTTGGGACTCTCTCTCCCTCTCCTTCTGCCCCTCCCCTCTGCTCGCTTGTGCGCTCTCTCTCTCTCTCTCCCCCACTCTAAAATAAATAAATAAATCTTGAAAAAAATAAAAATTAAAAAATGTTAATCTAGATGCTTTACCTTTATGACTTTGTCCATTCTCCTTCTGGGATGAGAAAGAAGTTGAGGAAAACAGGCATTGAGGGTAAAGTCCTCAGGGTCTCTCACATTGTGCAGCCAATCTGAGAAAGCCTTAGCAAGAGACGGGAGGGAATTCTCAGGATGGTAAAGTCTGCTTCTTCATGTAGCTATAAGGAGCTGAGACACTTACTGACTTCTCAGTACCTGGATGGCTCACTCTCAAGCGAACCCTCTTCTCTCCAGCTCAATTCCTGCTGCATGCATGCAAGTCTTATGCTGCTTCAACAGCCCCCTAAGCGGCCTCCTTGTCCCCTTCCAAAGACCTTCCCCACTGCTACCAAACATTCTCCTAAAAACGCAAACTGAACTCATACCCTTCAACTCTGTCACTTCAATTTTAAAGCTCTACCCTAAGGAGATTGAGATGGGGATGACAACAGCAAAGCACAGCAGCTAAGATCACAGACTCTGGAGCCAGACTGCTTTGAGTTTAAATCTCAGCTCCCACACATCAGGCCACATGACTGAAGACAAAGCACTTAACTTGTCTGGTTTGGGTTTTCTTAAAATTTTTTTGGTAACAGCTTTACTGAGATAAAATTCAGATAACTCACTCATTTTAAGTTTATATTTCATTGGTTTTCAGTATGTTCATACAGTTGTACAACCATCACTACAATTAATTCTAGAACATTCTTATCACTCCCCAAAAGACCCCTGTACCCACTAGGAGTCATCTCCATTTTCCCTACCCTCCCTGGCGCTAGGCAACCACGAATCTACTGTCTCTATTGATTTGCTTCTTCTGGACCTTTCATACAAACAGAATCCTATAAAAGGCAGCCTGTCACGTCTGGCTTCTTTTACTCAGCACGATGTTTTCAAAGTTCATCCACATTTGTAGCATGTGTCAGGACTTCATTCCTTTACATGCCTGAGTAATATTCCACCACATGGGTATGCTGCATCTTATCTATCCATTAATCCCTTGACGGACATTTGAGTTGTTTTCACTTTTTGGCTGTATTGAATAACACTGCTGTGAACATTCATGTACAAGTTGTCATGTGGACATATGTTTTCAGTTCCCTTGGGTATATAGCTAGGAGAGGAGCTGCTGGGTCATATGGTAACTCTATGTTTTAAACTTTTGAGGAAACAACCTATTTTTTGAAGAGTATTTAATGATATGGGGAAATGGGCTCTCTTCATTGGATAAAAATATTTAAAAAGACACACATGTACAGGTATCTATGTTTATTTAAACATTACATACTTTTGGGTGTATGTATGTATACAAATGCATTTCTGTGCTTTCCAAATTTTCTATGAGGAATATGATCAATTTTATAATCAGGAATAAAAAGGAGTGATTTTTTTTTTTAATGTAAATATGAGCATGGTATTCTCCTACCTAAAATGTTTCAAAGGCTCCTCTTGACTTACAAGACCTCACACAAACCTTTGTGCCCTGGCCCTGCCTAGTCTCTGACTTTCTCTCTATTCTGTTCCAGCAATACCAAATTCCCAAATATACTGTCTCAGTCCTTTCGCACGAGCTGTTCCCTCTACCTGGAATTCTCTTCATGGGCCTTGACACACTCTGTCATGAATGCTTCATTCACCTGGCAAATATGAAAGCAACACTAAGTTATCCCCATCTAGGAGGCAGCCTGAGCCAGCGGGCTGCTTCAGCACTACAGGTGGTCTCCATCTGCTTCAAAAGGATACGTATAATGTTAAAAGCTTTGGCGTGTTACTGGCTTTAAAAATTAAAGCCAGAAACTTTTCCAACTTCAACTTTAATTCTGGAGTCCAAGAATCCTGAAATAAAAAAAGAAAAATAATAAAAGCCCTAGATCATTAAATGCCAACAGCATTGTCAAATTGTGGCCTTTGGCTTAAATAACCCCATCCAACACAGTTACTGAAATCAAAAGCAAGATGCCTTGCCTGTGATGTGATGCCGCGAAAAATAGGTTTTTGGACATCTAACCAATTCATTTATAAAAGATCAGATACCCACAGCAGGAGGAAAGAACAAGTTCTGTTATAAACAAGGAAAAAAGAACCCTGTACATGATTTGAATATTTCATGTGATTTAAACACAAGCATGACAAATAAGCTTATTAGGTTGAATGCCAACCAGAATTCAGAATCGTTGAAGCATACATGGTGCTGGCGGGCATACACGGCTATCACTCAGTTCCTGAAAGTTTCCCAAAGAGAAAGACTCATTTTCATAAACCTCATCTAGATAAGAAAAAAAAAAAAAAGACAGAAGCTGTTATCTGCCTCAAATAACCCATCATGTCAAGAATTACGATATACTTTTAGTTTGATTTGTCCCTTAATAATAAATTACTTATCTCAAATAATGCTCATTAGAAGGAAAAAATAATGACTTAAGTAGTAAAAGAAAAAGTGTGACAAGCAATCATCTTTCTCAGGACAATTTTCCTTACAGTCTTTATATAAAAAAATCTATCACCAAACCAAGAAGTTCCACAGAAAAGAAGCAAGATCTCTAAAAATTCCTATCAACTTACCTCTTAGGCCCTGCCCCATCCCCGCAGACCCCCCCCCCCCCGTCCTTCCGCGCTTCCCCTCCCCAGCTCTGTGTCCTTCTCCATGCCCCCACCCCACCCGTTCTACCCAGGGCATCATCTGGCTTTTGGAAAAAATACTGCCTTATATTTTTAAAAGACTGTGTAATTCCCTGACACGGCATGATAGCTTTAGTTATAATGTGTGTGTTATGGGTTGAACTGTGTCCCCTAAAAAGATATGCAGAAGTCCTAGCCTCCTCAGAATGTGAGGTCATTGGAACGGGGTTGTTGTAGATGTAATTAGTTAAGATGAGGTCATACTGGAGCAGGGTGGGCCCTTAATGCAACATGACTGGTGTCCTTCTAAGAAGGAAAATTTAGACAGACACAGAAGATGGGCCTGTAAAGACAGGGGACTGGAGTTATGCTGCCACTAGCCAAGGGACATCTGAGGCTACCAGAAGCAGAAACAGGCAAGGAAGTATCCTCCCCTAGAGGCTTCGGAGGGAGCATGGCCCTGCCAACACCTTGATTTCAGACCTCTGGCCTCATGAACGAGACAGAAAGTCTCTATTGTTTAAGGCACCCGGTCTGTGGCCCTCTGTTACAGCAGCTCTGGGAGACTAACACAGCGCGCTACCGCTCAAGGCTTCTGCGCTCAACCATACCATAAAGAATTGCAAGGAAGGACTACCATGTTGGCCGACATAAATGAAGACATCTTAAAAAACAAACAAAACAAAATATTTGGGACATGGAGACTTCCAGTTAAATTGCTCTGTTGCTGATTACTATTTTGTATCACTAACAAGTACATATTTTCAATTTAACTGTTTACCTTCTGATGCTCTGCTAATGACAAGGCTAAGATTGGGATAAAACCTCTCTGGGTAATGAATCCCTTATTTTTTTTCTTGACTGCTCTGATTTTTCTGTGCTTTCAGCTTTGAGAAGAAGAACATTTCCCAAGTCTGCTAGGCACCTGACTGCCCAGCTCCCACAGGAATGGGGGAAGCACTGGGCTGGTTCTCTGTACTCCCTGCACGAAGTCATGCCCCCTCTTTACATCATAGTCTCTTCACTTGTAGAATGTAGACTTTACACTAGATGAGTGATCATCTGACTTTTTTTTTTCCAACAGCAAAACCCTTCTGATCGTTCAAAGTCTTGCCCAGAACCCTAATATATGAAATGAATAAAAGCAGGGTATTCTTGTGGAGTTCATGGAGAACTCCATGCTTGACTCTCTTGGCCTACCCACTGCCTCCTCCCTCCCTCCCAGAGCCCACAAGAATTCCTTCCATTTCTTTCCATTTTCACTAATTAAGCTTGACTTGGTCCCTGGCACCTAAGTGCCCAAAAGTTTTTCTGGAAGTAATCAACTAGAGGAATACCTAAATATTTCTGCAAGGAGATGCTCACTGACAAACAATTTGCTGAAAAGAGCTCATTACAATCTCTACAAAATACTTTTCTTTCCTGACACCTCAGCAGAAAAGATAACCTGAAAAAACAATGAAAACAACTAAAAAAGCTGGATAAGTTAACCATATTTTAAAATCCATCCCCAAGTGGCAAGAAAGGAAAAGCAGAGGCTCAAAGTGACAGTTTTCGCTCTAAGGATAACTCAGAGTCTAGAAGACCTTACACCTCAGTTCTAAGAACGGTCATGGTACAGAAGACGAAGACAATAGGATCCACTCATAGTAAACAATCTAATAGGAGACCCTAGCATAAAACTGGGATCCCAGGGCACCTGGGTGGCTCAGTTGGTTAGGCATCTGCCTTCAGTTCAGATCATGATCCCAGGGTCCTAGGATTGAGTCTGGCATCGGGCTCCCTGCTTAGCAGGGAGCCTGCTTCTCCCTCTGTCCCTCCCCCTTTCGTGCACTCTCTCTCTCTCAAAAATAAATAAAATCTTTAAAAAAAACCCTGGGTTTTTTTTTTTTTAACCCCAAAGGGCTATACCATCAGGAAAGAGTCAAGGACAAACCAATCCACTGTCTAGAAGGCGACAGCAAGGAAATCTACCTGTCTTGACCTTGACATTAGGTAGAAGGGAGGAAAAACCTCATTTGAAACTTCATAACCCAAACTAGTCTCATTAAAGATTGCAGCCTAAACTGAAACTATCTATATGGTTCCCAAAGCCTTGAGCAAAGAAATTTAATTTAAAATGATCCTGGGTTGGTAATGCCCTAGATGACTGAGAGATGCAAATGCAGATCTCTGAAAGAACCAAACTCCACTCAGGCCTCAAAAAACTCCCGCAAGTCCCAAGTAGAATAAACTCATTGTCAAAACTCAAAATAACTAATTTTTTTTTCAAAAAAAGATATAAGGTGCCGTGAATGAACGAGCAGAAATTAAACACAGCAGGATCAAATTTATAAAGGCTCCTGATGTTAAAATTAACAAAGAATAGGGCGCCTGGGTGGCTCAGATGGTTGGGCGTCTGCCTTCGGCTCAGGTCATGATCCTGGAGTCCTGGGATCGAGTCCCGCATCGGGCTCCCTGCTCCTTGGGAGCCTGCTTCTCCCTCTGCCTTTCTCTCTCTCTGCCTCTCTCTCTGTCTCTCATGAATAAATAAATAAAAATCTTTAAAAAAAAATAAATAAAATTAACAAAGAATATAACACAAATGTATAAAATGGTAAACAAATAAAAAGGCTGGAAAATATGAGCAAAGAACAAGAGACTATAAAAAATGACCCAGTAAATTTGAATTAAAAAACAAAAAGAACTTCTATTAACAAAAGTTAGTGACTGAAATTACAAATTCAGTGGATTAAAGAACAGATTAGACTGTTTGAAGACAGGTGTGAATAAATCACCCAGAATACAGTCCTGACAGAGATCACGAGATGGAAAATACAAGATGTTAAGAGACATGGAGGGCACAACACTGTGAACATCCTTGACTCTACTGAACTGTACACTTCACAATGGTTGAGATGGTAAATTTTATTTTATGTGTGTTTTGTCACAAATTTTTTAAATAAAAAAAAAGGATAGAAGAAGCAAGTCTAATGCAGATTTAATCAGATACATAGATTAAATGTAGATTTAATCAGACATCCAGAAAAAGATAATAAAGAGGAGAGGCAATATATGACGAGAAAACAGAATTTTCCAGAGTTGTTCAAAGACACAAAACGTCACATCCAGGAAGCCCAACAAATCCCAAGTAAAAATAGAAATCTACCCCTAGACAGGCCATAGTAAAATTGCACAACCTCAAAGGTCAGAGAAACAAGACAGATCACCTACACAGGAAGAGCAATGAGACTGATGGCCGACCTCCAATAGCAATAAAGGGAGCGGGGTGATAACATCACCTTCAATGTCATAAAAGAAAATAGCTATATGGGGCGCCCGGGTGGCTCAGTGGGTTGAGTGTCCGACTCTTGGTTTTGGCTCAGGTTATGATCTCAGGGTTGTGAGATCCAGCCCACACTGGGCTCTGAGTTCAGCATGGAGTTTGAGATTCTCTCTTTCCCTCTCCCACTGCCCCTCCCCGCCCCACACGCATGCGCGCGCTCTCTCTCTCTCTCTCTCTCAAAATAAATCTTAAAAAAAAAAAAAAGAAAGAAAATAGCTGTAAGCCCACCATTCTGGACCCTGTCTAAAAAAGCAACAGAGACATTTCAGACAAGCGAGAATGGAAAGAAGAGATCGTCACCCAAAGGAGACTCTAAAGGGATGTCTGTGAGGCAGAGAAGATGATTACAGATGGAAGGTCCTTAACGCAAGACGGAACAGCAAGCACATCTATGGGTGAACAGAAGGGTAAATCCATACACACACAGATTGCATCAAATAATAAGATTCTGTAATGTGTGGGGTTAAAGTATATAACTGAAATACTTGACAACAGCAGCAAGTGAGCTGGGAAGGGGATGAAGGAGGTGAATGCATTCTAAGGTCCTTGTAATGGTCAGGAAGACGAGAAGATATATGAGCTTTAGATTTTGTTATGCATACATACTCAGGTATCTATGATGGCCACTGAAAGAACATATGTAGAGAGTAGCAAAAGGAAAAAAAAAAGGAATAACATGACTCCCCATGAATACTGAACCCTGCAGACTCGGGACACCAAGCCAGAACGGGCCAGCCGCCTGCCGAAGCCCGGGCTGGACCTCAGCTGCAGCTGCAGTACTGTGCCATCATCTTCATAAACAGAAGTCTTCACAGTGAGAAAATCCACTATTTCTTTTCAAGTTTCACCAAACTAAATTTGGATGGACAAAGAAAACCAAGCACAGAATTCAACATAGGCTACTCTATGACAAGCCTACTTTCATGAAGTCATTCAACTCTGTGGCCTTCAATTTAAGGGCTACTATTCGGGAATGCTGACAGGTGTCTGACTAAAGTATAGTGGAACAGGAGACGGAGACACACTGGGTCTGGAGAGAGAAGAGCATCTGTTGTCCAGTGGCACATGAGGACTCTCCAAAGAGATGCTCGGAAACAGTGTGAGATCTTTCTTTAGAAAAAGCAACTGCATCGGTCTCTTAAACATGTTTTCATAAACCTCTCAGGGGACATCTTAATTTTATTAAGTCAACAAGAATTACTACAATGGATAAACACTGATAATAAATAGTATGCTAAAATGTCAACTACGGTGAAATAAAACAATTAAAAGAGCTCCAGGCAAGCAGTCTGAAGGAAGTAAGAGTACGCAACCAGGTCCTCAGAAATGTGCCAAGTAAGTGAGACTCTGAATAGAAATTAAAACACATATGGCCAGCAATTACGTAAAATAACCTAGTTCTTTTCAGGCCACAAATTTCGATGTAATTGAATAAAAATTATCCTTCCGATATTGAAAAGGTATGCATGGAATGCTCGAAGAAGTACACTTAAAAATAGTTATGTTAGTCTGAGTTAACAAGTCTTAATACACCCAAAAAATGAAATTTTATGGCACAAGAAACGTTCGTCAAAGAAACTTATCTGAGAACAGAAGCGAATTTTCAGGTTTTTTACGGCATCATTCAGAAACCACCAGCGTCGACAAGGTGAAACCGCAATGCTGCCCCGGATCCAACTGGTCACTCACCTGGAAGAGCTCTTTAAAGGAGGGGTGGACCATGGGGTTGGGAACAAAAGGCAGAGCATAGAAAGGGAGAAACTCCGTGGTCTGGCTCAGCGCTGCCCCTTTGGTCTCCAGGTAGGTTTTGAAATAAGAAATCCTCTCTTCCAGGTCCTCTTTGTCCTGCAAAGAAGGAAAGATGCTCATGTGGGGTCTCCTGCTGGACGTCTGGCTCCCCCCCGCACCCCGATCATCCCACCCCTTCTCCGCAGCCCCTCTAGTTCCAGCCACGGTGCTGGCATCCTCCCCCCGACCCCCGGCCTAGCAAGCACACGGTCTCCAGTCATTCAAACACCACCCCTCATGTCTCCCTTGACGGAACTTTGTCAGGAATTTCGGAGAACTAGATACATAGTTCGATCTGCTGCCCTTTTACTTTATAATTATCATGTTCTCATATCCTTAAAATTCTTCATAAACATCATTTATACCGGCAGGACAAAACCTGATCTCATGGGTCTATCACAATTTACTTAGCCAATTCCCCTATTATTAGATGTGTGCATTGTTTCCACTTGTCACAAATCATAAACATGCGTTTCAAGGATTCCCTCAGGAGAGGTGCAGAAGCTTCCACTGCATTCCTCCTTTCCTCTGCAAAGCTAACTAAGGACTGATCTTGCAGGCTGCACTGGCTGCACGCGTGATCCGAGGCAACCTGATCCATCTCAGGTTTTGATTTCCTCCTGCGCCTCAGCGAGGTCGGAGCACTTGAGCTGCTCAGCCCGGAATCGAGTGCTCTCCTTCCCTGACCACCTGGCTGCACCAGAGCCGTGTACCCTGTGTATATGTGCTCTTCTAATCAACACATCTCACTCCGTCTACACCGGGAAGCCCTCTTCTGGCCACTGGGCTTAAAAAAATATATGGTGTTTATTGATTTTTTTGATCTTACATCAAAATAAAAAAGTTAGAAAACAGAAATAAATATAAAGAAAGTGAAAATCTCCCATGATCTCACCCCCCATGCACACTGTCTTGAGGAACAGGAATGGCTACCGTGACTTACTGTAAAGCTGCTCCCTCCACCATGACCCCCCCCCAGCCCCCCTGACATTTTAATAAGTGAACACAGGTGCTTGGGGGCAGTAGCTAATGCAAGAAGCCACTAAAGAAAGGCATGTAGTCAAATGTCAACATGGCCTTGCTCCCATCTGTCATTTGCTCTGTACTGGGAGGCCTGGTGGCCACAGTAGTGGGCGCTCTCAGCCGTGCCCTTGGAAGGACTGCAGAGGCTACTCATCTGACCGCTCAGACAGACCTTCACAAACAGGCATCTTTCCACTGCTTAAGCTCAAACTTCTCTTCTATTAGACAGTCTAATATGTGGTCTCAATAGGTGTCCTCTTAGACATATGTGTATTCGTGTTAAGTTGCCAAATAAGGAAACTTTATTTTGCTGGGTTTTCAGAAATTTGAGGCATTGGGGAAAACCATGTAGCTTTCCGTACAGAAATTATTAACTCCCCGTATAAACTAGAAAATAAACTACTGGGAATGAGACAGAAAATCATGCACAGGACATGGGACGCCTACTCCTTGGAAGCAATACGATAAAATGGCCACAAAACTAAATTAATGCTCATTTACAAAACAAAAAGCTAACATTTCCCCTTGAACACACCACTCGGACCCACCCAAATCACAAAGGGAACCTACAGGTCTCCCTACGGAGTGTTTCAGAAGATAGATGGCAAAATGGATGTGAAGATAGAACTCCAACTTCTGGGCAAGGGAGTCACGATCTCGGATGGAACTGGGAATATGCTCCTCCCACAAATTGAAGAACACCTTCTGGTCACCACTGTCAAATGCAGCAACGAGGTCCTTCTGTGGAGAAGACATCAGACTGAACCCCAGTCATAAGGGAGGCCCATTCTCCCAACACCCCAACTTCTCACAAGCTACCCAATACCCTGCATACCCCATACACTCTGTGGTTCCAGTGTGAAAACTCAGTCTCCTTCCTGAGATAAGGGACAGAAAACCAGAGAGCTAGAAGGCTTCAAGCATCTTAGGCTGAGATTCCCACAAACCAACCCTGGTTGCAAGGTCAAGTCTCAGCTTTACAAAGAACAGATGAAATATTTAAGTCTCTGACATGGAAGGAGCCAGGCACAGGCCCAGGACTTGAGGCCCGAAAACTCACAGGCACATAAATACACTGAAGTCATCCTGTGAACTTGCTGACCCAGAGCATGTGATCAGTAAAAACCAGGCCAGATCCAAAGCCCAGCCAGGCCTCCGTGGAACTCACCCCGCACACAGAAACTTACTGACAGTCCAGTTGAGTCCTGGAGTGGCAGCTCCTATACACTGCCTCAGTCAATCCCTGGCCTGGGCGGCGGGTGTTGTCATTTGCTCCCTGTTGCTAAAGCATGTCCCATCAAGATGGCACTTGGGAAGTGACGACAGATTCCCAACACACCATGCAGTGACTGTCTATGTCCACCAATTACAGAAACAGGGACGCACAGGCTGGAGTTGGAGGAAGGAGCACAGGCCTGGCGCTCTTCCCACCTCGGGGCTGTGTGAGTCTGACCATGCAGGGCAGGCAGTTTCCCAAACTACCATGCAAAAGCAGAAATAGAGAATTCTGGGGAAAGGAGGTGGCCATTATCATGCCACCAGCCTGGCAAGAATGATGACTGACCCACTGCAAATACCTGCTGCGTAATTTTGCAGATTTAGGTATAAGGCAGAATGGACAGAACTTCCTAATGGTCCCAAACCATGTGATTCATATTGTTTTCCTTACTCTATCAAATGCCCAAGATACTCAGACCTACATTTTGTGCTCATATGCAAAAGTTTTTCTTGGATTGGATCTTCTATAGAACCTCCAGTTCCCCCCACCCAACACCATTATTCATCACCATTAATTGATCATTGTTTTTTTATACTTTTTAAAAATGGCTTTATAGTTTTCCTCTTTTTTTTAGGTTGTTTAGAAATAAGCTTGTTAATATTATAAAATGGGAATGTACTGCACAATGTTGCACTGTCCGGTTATACTTAAAGACATTCATTAATGAATCTTTGAGGGACGCCTGGGTGGCTCAGTCAGTTAAGAGTCTGCCTTCAGCTCAGGTCATGATCCCAGGGTCCTGGGATTAAACCCCGCATTGGGCTCCCTCCTTAGTAGGGAGTCTTCTTCTCCTCCCTCTGCCTCTCCCCTAGTTTGTGTTCTCTCTCTCACTCGCTCACTCCCTCTCAAATAAATAAAATCTTAAAAAAAAAAAAAAGAATCTTCGGGGTGCCTGGATGGCAACCAACTCTTGGTTTCAGCTTGGGTCGTGATCTTGGAGCTTGAGGATGAGCCCCGCACAGGCTCCATGCTCAGCGTGGAGTCTGCTTGGAGTTTCTCTCACTCTCCCTCTGCCCTTCCCAGCTGCACTCTCTCTTACTCTTTCTAATAAATAAATCTTAAAAAAAAAAAAAAAGAATCTTCAACTGTGCTTATTACAGAAATGTTCTCTATTTCATGTGATCAAGAACAATGACTGTTACCTTACTCTGGGAGGTCTTGGCTCCTCAGCCTTGGAAACAGCGAAGGACAGCTTGTCAGCAGCCATGGCAAGGGAGGTGCCCAAAGTGCAAACAGGCACCACGGTGTCCGGAAGAACTGGGAGGAAGCCCATTACTGACCGACGCAAGGTGCAGGGGATCTTCCCAAGTAGCAGTACTGCTGGAGTCTGACCCCACTCCAGGCTCACCGCGGCTGAGCTCGAAGCCAACCCCGCCATCCCTGTGAGCCACTCTGGGGGAGGCATGCTCTCAAGAGAGGGCTGGAGACCAAGAGCTCTTTGTGTGAGTGAGTTGTGTGCAGACTCTTGTGAGTATTTTAAGGCTTCGAGTCAAGGTATTTTCTTATGTGGACTGGCAGAGTCCACATGTTCAAATGGGCCATGTACAGTTTGTTCTAAATTCTTCATTTGTAGACCTGGGACCACAAACTTTCCTGTATCATTATAATCACATCTAAAATCCATCCTAACTTATGATTCATATTCTGTACCTGGAAATAGTCCCTGCATTTAATATCGACATACAAAGCGATCCAGTGTTATAACTCAATATAGTCACAAATATTAATGATCTTCTCTAATATAAACCATGATCCCAGCCAGAATCACCAAGCTCAGAATATTTATACACCATCCTGGGGTCGAGTCCTGCGTCAGGCTCCCTACTCCTTGGGAGCCTGCTTCTCCCTCTGCCTCTCTCTCTCTCTCTCTCATGAATAAATAAATAAATAAAAAGTTTCAAAAAATAATAATAACTTATAAACACAAACACACACACACACACTTCTTACAGAACTGTGCTTCGGGAAATTCTCCATTTGTTGAGTGCCACTGGCACTTAAGATATTTTGCTAAGCTGCTGTTCCAGGTATTTTTGTTTGGAATAGCTATCACAGTGGACACAGCTGTTTATTGGATGAGCAGAAAAAATATGCTTGTGGCAATCAGAAAGTTTCAAGGTCTTTCAAGCTATAGAAAAATGGACCTGAATACAACTGAGAAATGTGAACCCAAACCATAAGATATCACTTCACATCCATTAGGGACTACTATCAAAACAAAACCAAACCAAAAACAAGTATTGGCAAGGCTGTGGAGAGCTTATAACCCCTGCACACTGTTGATGGAAATGTAAAATGTAATCACCATGGAAAAGAGCATAAAGGTTCCTCAAAAAATTAAAACTAGAACTACCATATGATCCAGTAATCCACTTCTGGGTATATATCCAAAATAACTGAAAGCAGGATCTCAAAGAGATATTCGTACACCTATGTTCACAGCAGCACTATTCACAATAGCCAAGAGGTGGAAAAAACTCAAGTGTCCACTGATGGACGAATGGATAAACAAAATGTGGTACAGACATATAATGGAGTCTCCTTCAGCTTTAAAAAGGAAGGAAATCCTGTCACATGTCACAACATGGACAAACCTTGCTCCCTGTCCCCTCCAGCCTCCCTGAGCTACAATGCAAGTGCCTGGAGGGGTGAGCTTTGGTTTGGTTCACTGTGTCCCCAGTGCCTAAAATGCATAACCTAAAACTCCTCAGGATGGGGATCACATTTGTTTCAGTTACTAAGCATTGCATGGTTTCCTCTTTTTCTTCTTCCCAAGAAATGTACATTAAGGAAGGCACTTGATGGAATGAGCACTGGGTGTTATATGCAACTGATGAATCACTAAACTCTGCCTCTGAAACTAATAATACATCATATGTTAACTAAATTGAATCTAAATAAAAAATTAATTAATAAAATAAACAGAAATGTACTTATGTGGAAGATATTATGTCACAACCCATTTCCTAGGGAAGGTACACAGATTTAAAGATGACATTACTGGGATGCCTGGGTGGCTCAGTCAGTTGAGCACCTGACTCTTGATTTTGGCTCAGGTCATGGTCTCAGGGTCATGAGATAGAGCCCTGCTGTGGCGGGCTCCGTGGTCAGGGGGAAGTCTGCTTCTCTCCCTTTTCTTCTCCCTCTGCCCCTCCCCCTACTTACACGCTCTCCCTCTCTCTAAAGTATATAAATAAATCTTTTAAAAGAAAAAAGATGATATTACTAATTCATACAAAAACACCTGAGCATCTACAAGTCACACTGGGGGTGCCTGGGGGCAACCTGGCTGGCTCAGTCGGTGGAGCATGTGACTCTTGATCTCAGAGTTGTGAGTTCCAGCCCCATGATGGGCACAGAGTTTACTTAAAAAATCAATCAATTAATTAATAAAATAAAATAAAAGTCACTCTGACCAGGTTCCCAGAAACAATTCCAATATTCTCTAATAACTGCATTTTTTACAAGTTGGGAGCATCTTGATTATTGACAGATATCAAAAAAAAGGAAAATGTTACCTGGATGATCAATGATTTGGAGTCCCTTAAACAGCCACCTGCTGTTTTAGATAATGGCTTTCCTTTTATTTTGCATTCTTTTGAAAATGTTTTCAAGGTGTCTTCAAATTCAGCAAAATCTAAGTACTATAAAAAAAGAACATAAATGTATATACAATTCTCTATTTTAACATCAACAAAGCCAACTGTCTTTGATGTAATTGTACCAGCTTGAAGTTACCACCTATTTATAATGGGGTTAATGAACTGTCATCTTTGGAAGAATTCAGGATCCAGCTTAGAATTTACTTACTCGACACACGTACCCAAAGCCTAGAAAGACAGTATCATAGAAAATGCTTATTTACAGAAAATAAATTTGCTTTCAGAAAGAAAATGTGAACTGCACGATTCATGATCATTGTTAACAGAAGCAAAAGGATGTGTGCAGCATTCTAACAAAGGCAGCAGTGATCCCCAGAAGGCCTGACGGCTTGGGGTCTGGTAGATCTCTGGGAATTTGCCACCTGAAACTGGCCCTGGAAAGAGTGCCTGTCCTTAAGAACAGAAGACCAGCCATTGAAAGACAGGCAACGTCATCACTGATCCTGGAGCACGGCACTCCTGCTCACTGCCCACCCTGACCCCTCTCCTGGCCTCCCCTACCATGTACTCTACTGCTGTTCTCCCCTCCTCCTCAGTTTGTGGCAGTTACATCTTTTGGTTTCCACCTCCTGTGTGTGGGCTCTTTCCGCAGGCCCTGTCCACAGCCCTTTGCTGGGACAGCTTTAAGAATGTATTCATGACCACACCAACGAATTCCAAAGCTGCATTTCCAGGGCAGATGCCTTGCCCCACGGCCGTGGCTCACAGTGCCTGATGAACGGTTTAATCACAGACTAAAACAGGAGCAACGGTTTCTTGAGCATCAGCTATGTGCTTGCCCCACGCTAAAGGCAGTAGAGAATACAAAAAAGCCTAGGCTATGGGTCCTGTCCTTCAAAAGCTTTCAGTGTAGGAAACCTAAATGTCCATTAACAACAAGTTAAGTAGATACAGCCGCTCAGTGAAATATTCTACAGCATAAAAAGTATGAGGCAGATCACAGGAAGATGTTCACACCATATTACCGTTGATAGGGAAAAGCCAAGCTTCAGCATAATGTGCATGGCATCATTCCATTTTGTAAAACAAACTATAGACATGTAAATATATTTTGAATATTCATATAAAAAAGTCTGGAAAACTAGACTAACCCATTAACAATGGTTTCTGCAGGAGTGGAGCGCAGGGAAATGAACTTTTTATACTTCCACATTGTTTGAATCTTTACTGTGAGCATATGTTACAATTACAATTTTCTTTAAAGAAATTTTTTTTCAAGTGGCTTTAAGATTTCAGTTTAGTTATGAAAACAAAAAAAAATCATATAATGGAAAACAGGTAACTCTAATGCAAGGATAGAAAACACATTATAAGTTACTATAAAATTTGCTGCATTGTAAAATACAGGTTTTCAAGATCTCTTTCTGTGACCCATGTTTTGTAAAACATACCTCTTTCACAAGTCCAAGTAATTCTGATTCATGAGCCAGAACATCCCCCATATTGAATGGTTACTGTTAATTCTCAAATTAACAGCCAAAATCTCTACAAGGCAAAAATAGAAGATAAAAGCTTTCATTTCAACCGTCTGTGAAATCATAAAAAGGTGGCTGTGGTGGGCAGAATAAGGCCCCCACCCTAATCCCCAGAACCTGTGAATACGCTAGGTTGCATGGCAAGAGGGAATTAAAGTTACACACGGAATCAAGGTTGCTAATCAGCTGACCTTAAAATAGGGAGAGTATATATGATTATCTGGTGGGCCCAGTGTAATCACAGGGATCCTTATAAGGAGACAAGAGGGTCAATGTCAAGAGTGATGCATCGCTTGCCCTGAAGGTAGAGGGAAGGGCCCCAAGCCAAGGAATGAGTGCAGGCAGCCTCTAGATGCTCAAAAAGGCAAGGAACAGATTCTCCTCTGGAGCCTTCAGAAATGAACAAGCCCTGTGGACACCTTGATTTTGGCTCCATGAGGCCCATTTTGGACTTCTGACCTCCAGAACTGTAAGATAATAAATCTGTGTTGTTTTAGGTCACCAATTTTATGGTAATTTATCATACGGAACTACAAAGGCTCATGTTCATAGTAATTCCTTCTTCTATGACAACTGCTAAAATGAATATGAACACGGCCTAGAAGTTGGTGTAAATGAGCAGCGAGGGCTCTTTGTGAGACTGGGGAAGGTTCTTCTTATTTGGTTTTCTAATGTGCCATAATGTGGTATGTGTAATGCAAACAGTCAAGACCACAAAGTGCATTTTAGAACAAAACAGAATTTGATAAGGTTCATTCATTTACTTTAAAGAAGGATATGCATTAATATTAATCTGATATAAATGAACACCAATTCCTCATTCTGCCTCCAAATAAAAACTAATCATTCACACAAAGATATGGGTACTACTTAGCTGCAAGAAATCTTTAATGTTTCCTGAAGATCATAATCATTTAGCCTTACAGTAATGGGGGAGGAAGTGGAGTGCATTTACACAAGTGTTAACACAAGGTCAGGCACCAAGGAACGTATTAGGTCAGTCTTTGTTTTGTTTAGTTTAGAGAGAGAGAGCGAGCGGTGGTGGGGGGGGGGGGCAGAGGGAGAGAATCTTAAGCAGGCTCCACACCCAGCATGGAGCCCAACATGGGGCTTGATCTCATGACCTTGAGATCATGACCCGAGCTGAAATCAAGAGTCAGACGCTTAACCAACTGAGCCACCCAAGCACCCCATGGTTAGGTTTTTAATTACATTTAAGGATGCACAGTATCTATGTACATTTCCAAACATTTAAATAAATAAAATATTGCAAACCTTTTAAAAAAGTATTTTCTACTTTTTCTGTCCCCAGGTGTTCCCAAAGCAGCCACTCCCTGTGCCCCACTCCCAGGCTCTTCAGCCAGATGGACTGCCCATAACCCCAGGGGAATGAAAAAAGTCTGGGCACCGATACTAACTGTGCCATTCACTGGCACCTGATCTGGGGCAAATCACTGAAACTCGGGGCCTCTTGCAGCTACAAAGGAGAGTGGAGAATTGATCAGATCTCTTCTAGTTCTAGGAACACATGATTCTGTAACATTACATTTTGATCTGCCCATTACAGTGCATTTGATTTCAATTATTTGAGCATAAGTCAGGAAGATTAAATGTAGTAATGTCCCCCTTTTCATTCTTTTGTCTGTCTCACCATCAGCTTGTGGCATCTCTCCCGAGGTATGGTGACACAATCTCCCATCCCCTCTGTCTCCACTTCTATTTCTATCCTATTAACAAGGGATCTTGCCCTTCCTGCTTAGGACCCTCCTGTGGTTCCACCATCCTCCACTGCTTAGGCCCAACTCTCAAAGGCTACACAACGTGGCCTCCCACACTCTCGCCTTTGTTCTGTTAACTTGAGCCTCGATGGCCACTCTGTGGCCGCACCCACCAGAAGCCCACATCACAAGCCTGCCCTCTCTCGAGGACTTTGCACTTACTGCGGACACCCTCCAGATGTCCCCATCTCCTTCAGGGTGCTTAAGTATCACACCTTCAGAGAGACTTGCCCTGACTACCCTTTGTATGGGGTCAGTCCCGTCACTGCTTAGTCTTTTGTCCTGTTTTATTTTTCTCAAAAGCGCTAACCACTACCTGACTTGCACATCCCCCCTGTAAACAGGAGAACACCTGTCCCCTGGCACCCCCAGTGCCTAGGCCAGGGCCCGGCACGCTGGAGTTGCTCAAAAAGGAATGGCAGTAATTTCAGGTATGAGGAAAATAAAGCAAGGAAGGGGACAGAGCTTGGAGAAGAGGGGTCTAGGGTTATTTTAGAGAGTGGGGGCAGAGAAGGCCTCCCTGGGAACATGTGGGCAGCGATGTGAGGACGTGGGTACCTCTGGATCTGGGGGGGAGGGATTTGCAAGTGCAGGGGCTGCAGAGTGCTGAGAGCGGCAAGAGAAGCCAAGCCAAGCAGACACTGAAGGCCGTGAGGTGCCGGGCCAGGTCAAACGGGCCTTGTGTAAGCCAGCGGCTTGCATGTACTGGGAAGCCCGGACAGGGGGCTGTCAGGGGACTGCCACCACCCGATTTACAGTTCCTAACAGCGGGGTCTGCTGTGTGGGGGAGAGACTGAGGGGACGGAGCGGTAAGCCACGGCAAAGCCCGAGCTGGTGACGAGGGCAGTCTGGATGGGGAACAGGAAGCTTGTGAAGGAAAAGGAGAGGTGGCATGACCCGCTGATGGACTGGAGGTGGGATGTGAGGGGAGAAATGAAGGGCGACACTGGGGCCTAGGCAGATGCCATTTGCTGAGGTGGGGGAAACTGGGGGGCTGTCTGAGAGGTCAGCTTGAGAGTGCTGTTCCAGCCATAAGCATCACAGGCCCATGAGGCATCCGAGGGAGTGGGCTGCCGAGAAGGCTGGTGCATGTGAGTCCGGAGTAAAGGGAAAGGCGATTTTCTCTTTCAACATTCCTTCGGCTATTCAGGGTCTTCTCTGGTTCCATACAAATTTTAGGATTATTTGTTCCAGCTCTGTGAAAAAAGTTCATGGTATTTTGATACGGATTGCACTGAATGTGTAGATTGCTCTAGGTAGTACAGACATTGTAACAATATTTGTTCTTCCAATCCATGAGCATGGAACGTTTTTCCATTTCTTTGTGTCTTCCTCAATTTCTTTCATGAGTGTTCTATAGTTTTCCAAGTACAGATCCTTTGCCCCTTTGGTTAGGTTTATTCATAGGTATCTTATGGTTTTTGGTGCAATTGTAAATGGAATTGACTCCTTAATATCTCTTTCTTCTGTCTCATTGTTAGTGTATAGAAAGGCAACTGATTTCTGTGCATTAATTTTTATATCCTGCCACTTTGCTGAATTCCTGTATGAGTTCTAGGAATTTTGGGGTGGAGTCTTTCGGGTTTTCCACAGAGTATCATGTCATCTGAGAAGAGTGAGAGTTCGACTACTTCTTTGCTGATTCGGATGCCTTTGATTTCTTTTTGTTGTCTGATTGCTGAGGCTAGGACTTCTAGTACTGTGTTGAACAACAGTGGTGACAGTGGACATCCCTGCCGTGTTCCTGATCTTAGGGGGAAAGCTCCCAGTTTTTCCCCATTGAGAATGATATTCGTTAATGTTGAAAAAGAAAAGCAAAGCTGGTGGCATCACAATTCCGGACTTCCAGCTCTATTACAAAGCTGTCATCATCAAGACAGTGTGGTACTGGCACAAAAACAGACACAAAGATCAACGGAACAGAATAGAGAGCCCAGAAATGGACCCTCAACTCTATGGTCAACTTAACTTTGACAAAGCAGGAAAGAATATCCAATGGAGAAAAGACAGTCACTTCACAAATGGTGTTGGGAAAACTGGACAGACACATGCAGAAGAATGAAACTGGACCATTTCCTTACACCACACACAAAAGTAGACTCAAAATGGATGAAAGACCTAAATGTGAGACAGAAATCCATCAAAATCCTAGAGGAGAACATAGGCAGCAACCTCTGTGACCTCGGCTGCAACAACTTCTTGCTAGACACTTTTCCAAAGGCAAGGGAAACAAAGACAAAAATGAACTACTGGGACTTCATCAGGATAAAAAGCTTTTGCAGAGCCAAAGAAACAGTCAACAAAACCAAAAGACAACCGACAGAATGGGAGAAGATATTTGCAAATGTCTTATCAGATAAAGGGTTAGTATCCAAAATCTATAAAGAACTTATCAAACTCAACACCCAAAGAACAAATAATCCAATCAAGAAACGGTCAGAAGACATGAACAGATTATTTCTCCAAAGGCATACAAAAGGCCAACAGACACACAAAAAAATGCTCAACATCACTCGGCATCAGGGAAATACAAATCAAAACCTCAATGAGATACCACCTCACACCAGTCG